GATGTTGGTATAAAAGATTTGATTCCTTCATTATTTACCTTGGTTATAATAGGATGAGCTCAGACCATTGTACATACTACAACAGGTTTTGTGATAATGATTTTGTTATCTTGTTATTGTATGTAGATGACATGTTAGTAGTAGGCCCCAACATAGATTGAATCCAAGAGTTAAAGGCACAATTGGCTAGGGAGTTTGACATGAAAGACTTCGGACCAACAAACAAGATTTTAAGGATGCAAATTCACAGAGACAAAAAAGATAGGAAGGTTTGGCTTTCTCAGAAGAATTACTTACTTAAAATCTTGCGGCGCTTCAACATGAAAGATTGCAGGCTAATTTCCACCTCACTTCCTATCAATTGTAAGTTATCCTCAAGTATGAGTCCCAATAATGAAGTGGAGAGGATGAAAATGTCTCGAGTACTGTATGCATCAGTAGTGGGAAGTCTTATGTATGTCATGATTTGTACAAGACCAGATATTACACAAGTAATAGGAGTAGTTAGTAGATTCATGAGAAATCCTAAAGAGCATTGGAGTTCTATAAAGAGGATCCTTAGATACATCAAAGGAACCTCAAATATTGCATTATGTTATGGAGGATCATAACTAGTTGTCAAAGGCTATGTTGATTCAAATTTTGCAGGTGATCTGGATAAAAGAATATCTACTACTAGTTATGTGTTTATAGTTGCAGGAGGAGCAGTAAGTTGGTTATCCAAGTTACATGATGTTATAGCTTTGTCTACCATAGAAGCTGAGTACATGGCAGTCACCTAGGCATGTAAGGAAGATATTTGGATTAGGAAGATAATAGAGAAACTCGGGCACATGCAACAACAAATTGTTATGTATTGTGACAGTCAGAGTGTCTTGCACATTACAAGGAATCCAAGCTTTCATTTTAGGACAAAACACATAGGAATAAGATATCATTTTGTTCGAGAAGTAGTGGAAGATGGTAGTGTGGATATGCAAAAGATTCACACAGATGAGAACCTAGCAGATGTTATGACAAAGTCGGTTAGTGTTGACAAGTTTGTATGAAGTTGATCATATTATGGCCTAGCAGAAAAATAAGCAACATGGATGACAAGAATAAAGCAAGCATGGTGTGAAGATTTGATTAATTTAATCAAAATCTTCAAGTGGGAGATTGTGAGAAGAAAAGTCTCACATCAGGGAAATCTTAGTTTGACACTTCCTTTTCTTACTGTAAAATGAGCGCAATATTTATCTTGTAAGATGTACCAAAATCACTTTCTTTTCTTTCTCTTGCTACTTCAATACCTAAGAGATAAATTAAGAGAGAAAAATAGTTTCTCCTTTTAAGTTCTTTTAGAGTTGTTTTTCCTTTATTTTCATGAGAGAGGGTTATTGTTTCCTCCTTGGAGGTATAGAAAGAAGGGTTGTAATTTCTTTCATTAGTGGAATTACTCTTTTGCCTATTGTCAATGTTTTTCTCATCTTTTTATTTTAGTTGTGTATGCTTATGCTTTTGTCTGATACCTAACATCTGCTGCTCTATTTTTTGCTTCCTGCTTTATTTACTCTCTTCTTGTTTTCTTGCTCTCCTGTCCTTTATATAGATTAAAATTTTAAAAATTTTAATGGATATCATACAGTCTTTTCAAGGCAAAGGCTACAAATCAGCTCTTGCAACTGTTGAACAAATCACAAAATTTCCTCCAGTAGAATATAAAAAACCTACTTCGAAAATAGACAACACACAGTTCTTATTGGACAAAATAATACAATAATCGCACTTCTAGAAGAAGTTTCTAGAAAATTAACATGTTTAATTTATTTAAACAAAAAGAGAAACTTGTTTAATGAAATAGACGATCTCATTAATCAAGTTTCCAAATTATCTTTAGGAAACAACACATACACAAAAATAATTTCTAAAAATACCCAGAAATTTGTTAAAGTTACAACAAAGAAAGAATTAAATGGTCTTAAAAACTAGACCAACAACGAAAAAGTTTCTTCTTCTACAAATAATATTAGAAGTTAAATATGATTACACGACCTAATAATTTCACACAAATACAAACAAAAAATATTAATATGAATAATACAATAGATTCTAATAAAACGCAGATTTTCTGGAATCCCCAAAAGATTAAGGGAACATCAGACTAAGAGTCTAAACCTTATACAACATCCAGGAATAATAAATAGATTCTTAAATAGACAAAGAACTACTAATGTCAGGCGATTAGAAAACTTAGTAGATATACAACAAAACACTGAAATATGATCAAATTAGATTCCCTAAATCCTAGACAGTTATACAATATAGGTTGGTTAAGTTCTGAAAGAACTAGTCTTTACCGATACAGAATAATAGAAGATTTTCTTCTTCCAGACAATACATATGAGATAATTCCACTAATATCTCAACAAATTGGTAGGAAACTACTAAACCAGTAAGGAAGATATGTCCATATGAGATTGATTACCATGGGAGTTAGATCCTTAGCTAGGCATATGATTAAAGCCAAAGCTTTGATAGTTCTACATGACTCTAGATTCCAAAATAATTATTCACAAAGTGTAATAGGTATTTTAGAGGTAGATTTAAATAAACTTTTTTCACTTATATACCTTGCACCAAATTTTACATTAACACTTCCAGATTTTGTAAATCACATAAATCTAGAAGTACAAACAATAGGTTTTGGACCCAACTGGATGGGTGAGAATCTACACTTAGACATTACCTTCATAGGAAGAATAAATAACCATATTTCTTATGTGTATAGGGTAGACACAAGACCATTAGAAGAAGTTATTAGTTCTCATGGTACACAATTTCTTCCAGCCCAAGCCTTCACAAGAAGAAATGAAGGTCACTTGTGGCAAACACACTTACCCAAGGAAGAGAATAATCTCATTACTGCTCCTTCATCAGCTATTTTACATAACAGATCTAGAGGACTTAGTCTCTGTTTTACAGACTACAGAAACATACCCCACTTAGACTTAGAACAAGATAGGTCAATAGAAAATAGATATAGTACTTCTGCTATTCTTGATAACGAAAATATTTATATAATGAATATCATAGAATATGATGAAGATGAAAATGATGATATTACTGATGAAGAAAGTAATCATCATCAGGTTGTTATAGTTATGTTAAGACAAGGAACTCTATATTTTATTACAAACTATTTTTCTAAAACAAATGAAAGCGTCCAAACCAATGAAATGGACGATATCATAAATAAATTTCTAGACAACGTGTGTCTGGATAAAGAAGATGATGATACATTAGATCATGTATCCTTAATCTCGGAACCCTTATCAACAATAGGGTTAGTAAATACAAATATTGGATCAAACAACTTCCAAACAGAACCTCATAGCTATCAGCTAGAACCAAATGGTATACAAAGTTATTTAGTTGGTTTCCTGCCTAGAGAATCCCCACAAAAAGTTGTTTTTAGCAAAAATCAATACACAACACAAGGCAAAATACTCCCAATAAAGTCAAATTTTCAAATACCTAATCTTCTTCTGAACATAAGAGGAATAGACTCTCAACTATTACCAACATATATCGAACAATGGACAATAGTCGTAATCCGTGATTATGACATCCACCATGAAAAAAATGTTCAATCTTCTCAAGAAATGATTACTAAAGGTGAAACCTGTTTAGGTTATATAGTCAGACCATGTTGGGAATCTTTTAAAAAGAATTACCCTACTGATCTAAACATGTTAGTAATCGAACCAAGTCCTAACATATATAATTTTTATTCTCTTTTACAGAGAGATTACTTACTTCCCAGTCAGCAAATGATGAGAATACACTCAGACAACAAATCTATCTAGGTCACCTAGAAAGATTATTCATAACATATTTTGGAAAAATAAAAGAATTTTTACAAGATTATCTCATATATGCATTTATAGCTGGATGTTTTCATGATTTAAGTATAGGAGAAAAAATGTTTCTCAAACTACTAGGAAAATTAAAACAAAAAATTAGAGAATCCTGGAAAAATAATAAGGTAACTCCCATGTTGAATAACCTCTCAATAAGAATATAACATATCATGAAAGTAATGGAAGTCATACTCCTATACAAAAATAACTAAAAAATTCTGATACAAGAATCTGCAAACAAATATATATTCATCAATAATATAACCAAAACAAACCTAACAGAAAATATATATCTAGAGGTAAACCTAAATATAATAAAAATTACAATTCTACAAGATAAAGACCCACTATATCTAGAAATATTTATAATATAAAAATTTTAAATTCTAAAAAATAAAATTTAAATCCTAACATATACATTAAAAATTTTAAAAATAATAAAACATACAAACGGAATTTAAAATCATAACATTTAAGTGTAGATTATCCTAATGTTATAAATCTTCACACAAAAGATACATAATTCATAAAATCCTATTACATGAACTAATAAAACTGTTTCCTCAATTCTTGTTTTCATCTTTTACTTTCAGCTTATAATTTTTATAAATCTACCGTTTTCTCTTTCGATTTACCCCTATTAATTTCTTTCCCTGAGCTGGTCACAAAATCTGCTGAATTATAGATAAGTTACTATATTCTTTCGGAATATCTATTATCTATAGCAATATTTATTATTAAATATAGTTTAAAAAAATATCTTTTACCAGTTGGATAATTTATTTTAGGTTTACATCATTACCTAATTTATATTTCAATAAATCTGATACGGATATCAGTTTTTAAATTTAAAATAAAATAATTAAAGATATTGAAGTTCATCTCTCTCCAATCAGGTCCACGTATTAACCTTTACCTTTTATATAGGGCTGTTTACATTTCCTAATCTTTCTTTTTTCAGCTACTCGTGTTTGTTTACCCTCACAGAACAAACCTTTCTCTCTTCCTTTTCAACTCGCTCTTCCTCTCCGGAAGTTGCAGAACGCCTCGTGCAACGTCATCTCGTGGTTGGACTTCACATTAGATCCGGAGACGACTATGTCTGGCAACACCAATTGCAGTGTTTACATAGGTACTTACTTTTGTTTTTTCACTTTTAATCTATTTGGAGCTTAGCACAATTTTTTGTTTTCATTATTGATTTATTCAGTAGTTTTATGTATTTTCTTATAAATCTTCAATTAGATTACTGAATTTAACATTTTAAAAGATATTCGCCGACTTAAGTGAGATAAATTAGGGTTTTAGCTTGTGGTTCTCAGTATTCTGCATTCGATTTTTACAGCTTATGCATGTAAATTAACTAGTGTTTTGTTGGAAATTGTGAATGGTTTATCTCCTTTTGAAATTTTTATCAATTTTTTGTTTAAACCTTTCACACTGCTTTCTCCTGTTTTCTTCGTCTGTAATTTGGGAAGGGTGTTACAACTTAAAAGGTTGATTGTAGTCACCGTTGAAGGTTTTTCTCTTCTTTAGCTGCTGGAGTATAACAATTGTGTAGTAGAGTATTGAGTATTATGAGAACTCTGAGGGCATATTTTTGACATTGCCAATATCTTTCACCTGTTGTTTGAAACTAAGTGGCAGATATATGTGACATGCTCTTAACTTGTAATTTTATTTCCATGTTGTTCTTTTTTTTTTTTTCCTTCCATTAATTGAGTTTTTTAATGAAAGGTTATGTTACAAATTTTGGATAGGAAAAGAGTAAATTGTGAGACTTTGATATGTTGTTGAAGGAGGTGTTGAAGATTAAGTTGATTCATCACACTGTCTGTACACTACAATATTTTTTGTTTTGTTTCTAGAGAACATGTACTGAATAGGATTTTTTGTTGTGGTAAGAAGATTTAATTGGAAGGAAAGGGAAGGAATATTCATAGCAAGGAAAAGAAAAACCTTAGACTAATTTATCGGAAAACTAACTATAGAAATACAAGGAATCACAATATCCTGAGTTAAAAACAAATTCTCCACTCCTTTTAAGTCTACTGATGCTACTCCACTATAGAAAGTAGAAATTAACACAAAAATTAACACAATAAAGCATACCCGGAGGTTCAGGTATTCCCTTGAAAGCTTGAACATTTCTTTCTACCGGCTAGAGACATCATAGAGCAACAAATAAAGCATTAGCTTTTATTTTAGTAGAAAATAAAATTTAAATTAGAGAGGAAATAGGGAATTTACTATGGGAAGAAGATAAGATAGCCTTTTAAAGAGATGGACGAAATATCTGTTTGTAGTTGTGTTATATGTATGCAAGAACTGGAGTTTTGCTTGCTCAAATGCAACATCATATGATTTTATTAGTCCTTTAATATGAGCTCTTTCCCCTTTCATTAGGTTATAGTTTTGTTAATATTTATGGAGTTTTCATATGATGTTGTGTGAAAGAATCCAGTTATAGTTGTGTGAAAGGTTTAACTGATGGAAGTGATTCTTTGATAAGATGCCCAATTATTTACATGATTTGACATCCTCTGGCATGATGTATTCCTTTTTATTTCCAGTTACACTTATTATTTTTCAAAGGTGTTATAACTGGATTTCAATTCTTAATGGTGGTTGATTCATATGTTTATTATTTGTGTAAATATAAGTTTTAAATGTTTATGAATAATTGGATTTATGCACAAGTATAGATAATAGGAATTGCTGATTTGGTTGCTCCTATTTGACTCAGGCAATCTAGATGAGAGGGTGACAGATAGGGTCTTGTATGATATATTAATACAAGCAGGACGAGTGGTAGATTTACACATTCCTAAAGATAAGGAATCAGAGAAACCAAAAGGTTTTGCCTTTGCAGAATATGAAACTGAAGAGATTGCAGACTATGCTGTCCGGCTTTTCTCGGGTCTCGTTACTCTCTACAACAGAACACTCAAGTTTGCTGTGCGTAATCATTGCTTTCAACCTGTCGAGAGCTAGATATTTTTTAATCATAATCTTACCTTATTGAATAAAAAATTTTCGAGTGACAGTTTCTGTGTTTGGTTATTTTAATGAACAGGGAAATTTTGTGCTTAATAAGATTGATGGTCTTTTATCTTCGGGCATAATTTCATTTTCATTAGTATTTTGTTTTTATCTATAATATCTATTAATGTCCTAATCATTCAATCTCAAGATATTTTGTTCATATGTTTATTTTTATTTTTATTTTCTCGTTTTTTATATTTTCTGATCAAGTTCTCAAGACTCTCATTTTAATGGATTAATGCAATTTTCTAATATTTTTTGACATAGCATTAATATAAAATTCATTTTTTTTTTCGTGGTTGCCTTTTACCAATAATTTTTGTCCGAATATTTTTGTTCCCTTGACTCTCATTTTTATTGGTTAATGCAATCTTTCAATTTTTATTCATTATAAGATTGATGGACTTTTACCATCTGCATAATTTACTTCTCATTTCTATTAGTAGTTCTTTCTATTTATAATATATAATTCTTTAAATAGATGTCCTAACCATTAAACTTGTTCTTCATTTCATTTTTTTTATTTTCTGATCCTCCTTGACACAAGCTCCATGACTCTCATCTCTACCCTTTAATGCAATTTTCTAATTGTTTTGAACCATAGTTTATATATCTTTACATAATAATAATAATAATAATAATGTTTTTGTTGACTGTTAGCAATAATTTTTGTCCAGTACTGTGCTTTGTTCCCATGACTCTCATTTTTACTACAATTTTCTAATCTTTTTGAATTAGCATCATATCTTATGTATTTATTATTAATGTTTTCCTTATCTCTTACCATGTTGGTGATATTATCTATCAATAAACAGATATCTGCCAGAGACAGAGCTATCACTAATGGTTCTACGTCAATTACCCCCACGTCAAATTCTTCTCAAAGATCACGGCAATATCCAGCCCCATTAAATAATTCAGATCTGCATTCTGTTAGGCTATCAACTTCTGACCGATTTTCAGATTATACAGTAAATTATTCACAAGGTAAGTATTCTTCCTCGCATACTAAAATTCGGTTCACGCCTAGATTAATATTTTATTAACAATAGAACAATTTTGTTTTTTGATTTCAATACCAGTTGCTCCTGTTCGTGTAACTGATCAATCTAGTAGGGATGAATTACACTATAGTGGCAACAATTATGAATACAGCAGGAGAGCATTTGGGGCAACATTGGATAGCATTAGCCGTAGTAGGTCACGCCGTTTTGATAAAAATAGCCCAATTTCTTATCCATCTTACTAAATATTTTTGAAGATCCAAATGATGACAATCTAAACTTTCCATTAAATACTAGGTAGTATAAGTGGTAATAGAATTTAAATGGAAAATATCTTAATACTAGGTAGTATAAGCGGTAATAGAATGTAAATGGAAAATATCCAAGATTGAGGAGAATGGATATGCTTATACTATTGTTGTACGGATATTTGTTTATCTTATCCTCCAGTCGTGTTTATGAACTTTATGATTGATGATGATAATAGTATTTTTATATTGACTTTTGTAAAACTTTTGTAAGTTGAACTCAAATCAAGTAGAGTTATCTATTCATACAGTTATCTATTCATCTATTCATATGCCTTTTCTGTCTGGTTGGGATGTGTATTCTTCGTGTAAATCATTCTTTTTAACATTTCATTATGGTTCTGTTTGATAATTTTTCTTAAATGTTTAATTAAATTCTGTATTTAATGATAAGTGCAAGTTGCTGTTCTTTTTTTTTTATCCCAACGATATTATTCCAAAGTAATTTGGTTCGTATATAAGCTACTCAGATTGACAGAACATGGAAACAACATGCCGTGATGAAACACTATTTTCATTTTGGCATGTTTACGTATCCGGGATATAGTGTTATCGTTTTGCTACGCTGACTCTTTTAAATTGTGTGATTCTTGAAGAGACCAATTTTGATTTGTATGTTGATTGTGCTAACATCTTTTTGCCAAATTGAGAAGGTCCACTGCACCAAGACTGTTGGCTACTTGGTGCTAGTAACATAATTTTATTTTACCCAATGCATTTAGAAAAGAGGAATTCAACCCAAAAAGGCTGCAAGGTGCCATTGTCCTCTTACCTGATTTATGCTAAAAGGAGTGAAGGGTCGGTCATTGGGTATTCCTTGGACGCATTTCTCATTTGCAGTTTGGTTACAAAATTATGCATTATCTGGTTTGTTTCTTTTGCAGAGTAATTATGAATGGCGGAAGAAACAATTTAGCTTCATAAATTTTCCCCTAAGGAAGCGCGCAAAAGATACGTTTGGCTTGAGAAAAATATTCTTTTATTTTTTGTAAATATTAGTTAAAATTGCCTTTATTTTTTTATTTTTAATTATTTCTGTAATTAGTGAAAATAACATTTGCTGATTTTATCATTTTTTTTGTTTGAATAATTCATAATAGATAATAAAGTAAAAATAATGTGATTTTTGTAATTAATAATAAATTAAATAAATAAATAGCATTTCTTACATTAAATTGATCCCAGTTTTGAAATTGCTATTAAATTGACACTATTCTAATAATAATAATAATAATCTATTGTCAGTCATCTGAATATTTTAAATTTAAGATATAAATATAAATTAAAGAGAATATATAAGAAATAGTGCTATTTTGAAACAATGTAGAGATTCTAAAAAATAGAGAATAACGATAAATGTTAAGTTGAAGATTTCATTTTACTCTATATTTAAATACTTTACATTAATAGGCTTTCTTAAATAATTATGCAAAAATAAATTAGGTATGTAACACTTTAAAAATGGAATTATAAATCTTGCGACTTTACTATAAATTTGCTGTGACATTCTAAATTTATGAACCTTATATATTGGTACTTAAAGATTTTGACTACAATAGTTAAAATTAGTTAAATATAGATAAAAGTATTTGATAAATAATAAAATATGATCTTTTATGAAAGAGATAATTTTTATCTTCTTAGTTTGAACTATTACTTTTAGTTCTCTAGCTTTCCAATGGTGTGTACCAAAAAATAAACTAAATATAATTAACATTTATACTTAAAAAGCTCTAAAAATATGTTTTGTTACATCCATAATTCTGAACTTCGTTTACTCAGTCCAACAAAACATGTCAGATTCAGGAAATCTCAATAAAATGAAATGATAATTTCTTATTCAAAATCTGTATAATAAACTTTTTTATTAAATCACACCATAGTAGTATATTAGACTTTTTAATTCTTTCAGAGGTTGATCAAAAAATATGCGATGTTTCAAATCTCAGGCATAAATTACTACACATGCAAATTTTATATAATTCATTTGATATTTTCATATTCGAGAATCAATAAATTTTACTTCGTATTATTCACAAAATCTTGGGTCGTTTTTTTATTTTTGATAATTTTACTAATTTTTTATACCTGTAATTAAAAATATTTAAAAAAAAATCTAAATAACCACAATTATACGACCAATTATATATAATTTTTTGAAAAATATCACCAAAACGTTGTTAAAATCCTATTGAATTGATATATGAATCTAAGAGTTAAAGATTAAATTGAGATTAAATTGGAATTTAATTAAATTTAATAAAATATTATTTTAAAAATATAGTAAGTATATACTAAATTCAATAATAATATTATTATTTTATAAAAGAAAGAAAAATAATTATATTAATAATAAAAATTGTTATTATAATTATTATAAATTATAATAAAAGTTATAAATATAAAATATAAAAAAATAAAAGTTTGATAAAGTAAAATAAAATATAATAGAATAGTTATTATTTTTAGTTGAAGTACTCGAGTAAGATAAATGAAGAAAAAAAATTAACAAATAATATATTCTTTATTAAAAATATTTTTGTAAATATATATATATATATATATATATATATATATATTCCTAATTTTTTATTATTATCAAGTTTAACCCAAAAACTCCATATTTTTTTCTTTTAAAGATTTTGTATCAATTATTGGTTCAATTAAAATCAAGTTTTTAATTAAAGGAACTATTTCCAAACAAATTCTCAATTAAAGTGAAATATAAATATTCTGTTAAAATAACAAACAATTTTTATTTATCTGAAATTTTTAAAAAGTAAAATATATCTATATATAAATAATTTATTCAATAAACCAATAAAAAAGTAAATTAAAAATATATTTAAAATTTAAAATTATGTTATTAATTTTTTATTTGTATATAATTATTTAATATATAAATTATAAGATAATGAAATTATTCCATACATATTAACAATTATTCTAATTATTTATTTTCTAAAATAATAATTAATTTTTATTATTATATTCATAAGAATATATAAAAGATTCTTTTTTAGCATTATGTCATAAGTTAATACATTATTTATCTTAATCTTATATATTCTCATTCCTTCAATTATACCTTTATTTAATATTTTCTATCAAATAAAATTAAGAAATAAAAATCATAAAAAAACTGTCATTTTCTCCTCTCCTTCTAAAACATAGCCGATCTCACCGTCTTTCTCAGTTTTTCCTCCCACATTTATTTGTATATCGAACAATGTATAATTCTAAGATGAAGTATCTTTTCATTTTTTTTTCATTTTTTTACTCTCAAATAAAATTAAAAAATAAATATAATAAAAATTTATAATTTCTCATTGTTAATAACTATTTTGCATTAAGGAAGAAAATATAATAAAATATGCGCACGTGTTCTCTGCTAATTATAATAAAATAAACAGTAAGTATTTCATTTTTATAATAAATTAATATTTTTAAATCAATTTATAATATATATATATATATATATATATATTGATAAAATATTTTTTTATTTAAAAAGTTATTATTTTATTAAATAGGTTGACTTAAAAAAATTTAAACTTATCTGATTTATGGCTATTTAAGTTTTGAGGTAAATGAATTGAATTAAAATTGACTTAATTTATTTAATTTAGATTGACTTAGTTTTTTTGTTTTTTAATCGAATCAAATTTATTTTGATATCTCTATTATATGTAAAAAAAATAAATTAATTTGACATGATATACTTCAATAATCTTAATTTGTTTTGAGTAGTTTCTCAAAGTAGAAAATTATTCTATTAATATAGATAAAAAATGCATGGTTTTAAAACACAAAAAATTTTATCTAAAATTTTAAAAGAATGCCTACATAGTTAAAAAAATATCCAAAATTATCAAAACGAGACCAAACCTCAAAACTAATACAGAAAGAGAAAGTTGAAGGAAAGAGGGGCCGGGGTAGGGGTAGACGAAGAATAAAATGGGGGTGTAGAAGAAGAGATCTTTAATGGGCTTTTAATTTATAATTACTTTTATTATTGTTAAAAACTGAGTATATTTAGGCCCACGTTATTTTTAGGTCATTTCTTTTATAAATTTAAACTCAATTTAAAATAAAATCATGCATACAAGATCCGCTTTTACATTCTATAAGAAAAAAAAGTTAAAACAAAAATAAGTTTTAATTATTTTATAAAATTTAGTATAACATAAATTTATTTTCATTGAGTATCATGGAACGGGTAAATAAAATTCAGTATAACATAAGTTTAAATATTAAGTTTATAACATATGTGATCGTGAAATGTACAATGAAAATAAGGTTTTTAAAATAATTATTTACAAAAATTTATGTTAATTCAATCCTGTAAAATGTAAACATAATATTTTTTTATTCAATTTTAGATAGAGATATTTTTTTTATATTGTAAAATATCTTCTTTATTAAAATAGTTCTTATAAATATTTCAGATTAACTTAATCCTATAAATCTAAATATAAATTTTTGTCCTATTTCATTTAAAATTTTATATTAAATAAAAATAAAAAATTTGAGTAATTTATAAGTTAAAAAAAAATCTATAATTTTAAAAGATTTTAAATCAAAAAATTTATATTTTCTTATATATCTAACTTATATTTTATGAATTAGAATCTCTTTATTATTAATATGATCGGAAATATCCAATACATATATTTTCTTAAATTATGAATTAGATTCACACAAAAATCCCAAATCAAATTTCCCTCCCCAAATTATATTTTCATTTCTAACATAATCAATACACGCATTAACAATGTTAAAAATTGGGACAAAATAAATATTTAAAATTTTAGAAAAAGACTAAAAAACTTAAAAAAAATTATAAAACATTTCAAACTGTAGTTTTAGCCTGAACTACAAACATACAAATATGAAGAGAGGAGAGATGATGAATGTTTATTTTACTTAGTCTAAGATATGTATACAGAAGTAAGAGATTAGAGTCAATCTGACACATCAATACTTAATCTGAAAATGTCTAATTTTTTTTATGCAAAAATGAAATTCCAACTACCCAACACAAACATTAATTTAGGATCTGTTGTGTGTGTGTGTGTGTGTGTGTGTGTGAGAGAGGTAGAAGGATGTTTGATGGGCACGCACGCATGGAGAGTTGCAAAATGAGGAGTAGTTGGTCACAAGGCATGACACAATACGATGATCATAAAAACGTGCAATGATGTGAGGCTTACTCAACCACACACACACACACACAGACACATAAACATTAAAAAGTGGGTCACCTTTGTTGAAGCATTCCATTCAAGGATGGTACACAAGTGGGGTAGGCCAAGTCCTCATCACACCTCATGGCAAAATTACATGGTCACGTTTCTTCTTTTGTTCCCCACCAAAGCCAAAGTCAACACTTTCTTAGACCCAAAGCTTATTTTCCAACACCTTTTGCCCTTTCTTGAACGCTTCCTTTTGGGTGTTGAACGATGCAGAGACATGCTCCTACCATCATAAGCTTCAATGGATAAGAACTCCAACTCAACTCCTCCTCCATCACTATGCATCATCCTTACGCTTTCCTTTTTCATTTTCATGTCTCACATTTCTTCTTCTGTTTCCATTTTATTTTACTTTACACCTTCCACCCATGAAGGAACATCCAGAATCCATCTCGCGTAAGCTTGTTTTCAGGGATTTCAGAGAATATGGAATATTCTCAGACTTTGTTTCGGTTTGCTATGTATGTATCTCTACAATATATATTCATTCACCTTCGTTTCCTTTACATTTTTTTCTAAATTCTAATTAATGCGTTGAAAATTAAAATAAGAATATAATTAATTCGGTATTTAGAAGAAAAAAAAATCTGGTGAAAAATATAACAAAAAAAGTGTATCAATAAATTACCTGAATTAAAAATTGATTATTAAGATGTTTAAATAAAAATTATTTAAAAAAATAATATAATAAAATAAATAATAAATTATTTAAGTTACATCATAAATTTTTATTTTACAATTTTTAAAGTTAAGAAACAATTGAATTTATCTATTAGAAATATAATTTTAAAAATCTGATTAAAATTATGATTTATTATTATATATTTTATATAATAAAATTTAAATTATTTAATGAATATAATAATATAATTTTAAATATTTATAAAAAAATTAAATTTAAAAAAAAAACATATTACAAATAAGAGTTAGACTAAATAACCACCGCCCGCGTTTTTTATTAAAATAATAATTGACCAAAATTCTAAGGATTTTTCACAATAATAATTATCATAGTTTATTTTAATAATTTTTTACTTTTTACGATAAGAATGATATTTTAGTTTGAAATAACTATTATAAAAAACAAAGAAATAGATTTTAATGATATAAATAAAAAGTTAAATCTAAATCTTAAATATCTACTTGTTGTGCCTTTATCATGTAACCCACTCAATTTGTGAATCTTGTCCTCGGGTTTATGCTAGCTAACACGGGGCCCACTATTCTTTTGGATAATCATATTTTTACGTTTTTTCATTCATACTCAAATGCCACATTTTATTAGACAGAAACCAAACCTAGAATATTAAATTCATAATTTCAACCTTTGCGTCGATTTTAATTCTCGAACTAAGTCTTACAAATTGTAGCTATTTTACGTATAGATACTAAATTATAATAACATCACTTAAATATTTATTATAATAAATACAAGTATAGAAAATTCAATTTTAAAACATTATATATATATATATATATATATATATATATATATAAAATAAATTGTCCTTCGTATTAATATAGAAAAACTATTTTTATTTTAGCAATATATATAAATCTCCATCTGCAGTGTTAAAATTAGGTCAATTCAAAGATAGAGTTTTGAGCTGTGATTTTACTTATCCATCTTCTTAGGTGCCTACTGTCCAACAAACATTACATACATCTTGTCCGTAACAATTTAATAAGAATAAAACAACTTGTGTTCATTATCATATTAATTTCATGTGTTTAATCTACATGGATCAATTGTTAATAAACACATTCTTATTTCACGCGTAAAATTTTCAATATAATCCGATTGATTTAGAGCGTGAATTTAAATATTTTGAAGGTTTAAAATGAAAATAAAAATAATAAACAAATATTAAGGAAATATAATTAGTCAAAAAATATAGTTAAATAATTAAAATTAGTAAAAAAATCATGAGAATACTAAAATAAAAATAAAAAAATATAAGAGAATATAACTAATTTTGTGAAAAGATAAAAAAAAAACATAAAAAATATATTAATAAATCAAATTATTGCGCATACAAATGTTATATGTCACCACTTATCCGTTATTTTTAATCATATAAACTACCAATATTAACGAAGAAAATTTTGTTAAACTAAAATTAGTTAAATATTTATTTACAAATTAAAAACTGAAAATTTCTAAAAAAATGTTTACTGGCTATTTTTTTGTTTCAAGAGAAATGAAATAAATGGTAATTAAAAAGGTAACCGGTTAGTGTAGAATGCAACCGGTAATTGTACTGTTGCCAAGTTGGCATATTAATTGCACTCTGAATGAAAAAGACACATTGTCATTACAGCAACTACTTGTTTGGTTTCGCAACCATGCTCACACCGTGCTCCTCCAACAACCTTGGACCAGTCACAAACTACTCTGTTTTGTGTCTATAAAATTCACCAAAAAATACAATATCTATATATTGGTATAAATTAAATAATAATGTCCTATTATTAAAAAATAAAATAACACGTTATAAAATTAAAAACATATAAGGTAAAACTAATTGTACTTATGGTATAAAAAAGTGAGTGGAAAAGAAAAAAATTAAAAACAGATACAAAAATAAATAGAAATATACTTTTATTACAAATTTAAAATATTATATTTAGATTATGTGTCTTTAGAAATGTTAATTTTTATTTTATTATTAATATTAATTTTTTATTTATTTTAAAAAAATAGTGTCTAGTATTATATATTTTAACATTATAATATATTTGTCCTTGAAAAGGAATCAAAATATGTTATTTATACTTCTTTTACTTTTTAACTCTTTTTCTTTCCATTCATTACTAAGATCTAAAATATTTATGTTTTTCATACATGCACTTGGATTAAACATATTCCATCCACATAGTGTGTGTTTGATGTGAACATATAAAAATCAAGTAGATGACACACTAACTTATTGAGAAGCCCAAAAAAAAAAACATTTTTATTATTTCTTTTATTGGGTATGATACTTTTTTTAGCGTTTCATGACACTACCAATTTGTAATAGAAAAGTTGGTGAAACCTAAGTTAAACTAGAAACCACCAATTTCTTTTAGCTGTTTTCTATTTTCTATTTTGGAAGGACACATTTTGAGTATTTTTAGGAACAAAACTTTATATATGCATGATTTCAGAGACAATTTCTATGACCATATTCCTTTGATTGATCAGCAGACATATATAGATATAAAAGTTTTTGGCTTAGTTTGTGAAGATTCTCTTTTCATGCAAATTCTTTTTATTATAGTCAAGATTAAGACACACATGTGGCTGCTTGATTTTCAAGTCAATAATGCTGTAGAATGTGTAATATGTTAATGAAAATGGATAATAGAGCGGCTTCAAATGATAATTATCACTTAAATAAATAATAAGAAAATAAAGTTGGTAATAAAACGACAATCATTCAAACCATTGATTGTGGAATATTGATATAGTATTTAATCTAAAACTGTTCCTTCAAAACTATAACAAATAAACAATTTTTGCTTGTTGTTTGCGTGGTGAATTAATTTATTTGAGCTTAGCATTGAATATATATTTTCATTTATTTTAACACGAGTGATAAATTGTTTGGATAGTTAGTATAGTATATTTACTATTTCTTTCATTTTTTTTAATTAATAACTCAAATAAATAATGTTGTGTGATTGATGGATTAATATAATTTTTAAAAAATATTTAAAGAATACAAGTATCAATTTAACTCGGGTAAGAACTTTTGGTAAAGCTTCATAATTTGTGTATTGAACTTAAATGATTTTTTATCACTGAATTTTAATTAAATTTAGTATAACTCAATTATTATAAGTTAAGCGTTACACTTTCAAATGTTGGATTAATAAAGTGTCATGCCTAAATTATTATTTTTTAAATAATAGTAGTTTAATTTAATCATCAAGTAGAGACTGTTGTGGGTAATTGATTTATTGAATTATTAAGATATACGTCTATTCGGTATTATTAATTTTAATAAAATAATTAATTTTAATTTTAATGAAATAATTAATATTAATTATGATAATAAATACTATTGTAGTCTTGAATTTTTTTTAATAGAGAACAGAAATTTAGTAATCACTTTTTGTATGTATTAAGGTGTCTCACTTCAATTAACTCATTATATATCCCTAAATAATAATAATAATAATAATAATAATAATAATAATAATAATAATAATGATAATAATAATAATTATTATTATTATTATTATACTGTTTAATTTAATTTTTATCGTCTGCAAATATTTGTTGAAGCTTTTCTGATTAGTTTCTTTGTTTTTTTTAATTCATATTTAGGATAATATGTTTGAAAGAAAAATTTCTATAAGCACTTATATATGATTTTTTTCATAAAATAAAACGACTTAATTTTGGAAAATTAATAAGATATAACTTCTATAAATTGTTTCTTATTTAATACAGTGTTAACTCATGGGAGACTTGATTTAATTTTAAATTTTTATTTTTCTTGTTTTTTAAAATATCTAAACAGATAAATTGATTTATTTTTCCTTTCGTTTAAACAACGTTTATGAAAGAAAGATTCTCCTCCAAGTGTACTCGATCTGCAATTTTTGTACTATAGTTGTAAGTTAACACATACTCCCTTCAGTAAAAAGTACTCTATAATGCAAAAGTGATCGTAAATGGTACTTTTCCCTCTATCCAAAATTGTCTTTTGTGACGAAAAGGGATTAGCAGCGACCAAAAGCGTGGTAAAAAGTGAAGAAAGAAAAACTTAATTTAAACAATATTTAATTACCTATTTTAAAAAAAATCAGATATCACATACACTCGTATTTTTGTATTATTAGTTTCAGTCACACAAATCATCATACATAAGACGATCACGCGAGTGATTTAGATAATTAAACATCGATGAAGATATACGAGGCATATCTTATTAACTCATCTATGTAATTGTCCTATTTATAAGTCCCTTTCAACCATAAAAAACTATAAAACCTAATCATTATATTTTATGACTTTTTCATAGAAATCGGATTCAAATAATTTATGGCTAATGATTTTCGTTTTTGACTTACATAAAAAAAATCTTACACGTGTAACAAATTTAGGGAGAAAGTAAACCAATGAGTTCTTAAAAATTTTGCTATGTTGAAAATTTATTTGATAACGTAGAACTGTAAAGTGTTCTTATTTTTAGCTTAAAATATAATTTTGTCAACTTGTTTTTAATTTATTTCTCATTTTCGAATAAGTGTAACAAAATTAAAATGAAAGTTTGTTTTCACCTATTTTTGTATAAATATTTGAAAACAATACTAAACACTTACAAAATAAGGTAACCATTTTGCAATTAAAAGTCAAAATAGAAAATGAAAATAAACAACTTTTTTCAAGATGAACAAATCCTGAACTTTCGAACATTGCAAATGAAATGGAAAAAAAATATTGAAAATATATATTTTACATCGATTGTAGAATTTAAAATATGGATTTAACTGGTCTAAAACTGAAGTTTTTCATATTATTATTATTTATTATTATTATTATTATTATTTCGAGCGAAGGTTTTAAAAGCAGGTATTAAAATTTATTATGTATTATATTAAAAAATTAGTAGTGCATGGAACACGATTATGATCATGCTAATATTTTATTAATTAAAGGAAAAAGAGGATAATTCGTGCAAGTGAACGAGGACCAGAAACCAAATGTGGTGTGAGATGATTATTATTACTATTAATTATATATTAAAGTTTAATGGTGCCTGTAATTCATGTTCCTACTTGAATCTTCACTAATCAGATTTTAATTTATCCCTCCAACGTTCTTGGATATGTCAACCAGAGGATTTGGCTTTGCTCTTCTTCATTTGAGACATGGCATTTTTCCTGTTTATACCGTCAAACATTCACTTATTTTTTTTATCGTTGAAAATCCGTCAATAATAATAAAAAAAATATGTCGATAAATAAATATTATGGATGGATAAATTCGTTAATTATGGACGGATAAATTCAGTCGATAATATTTTTATTATTTATTATATTTTTTACTTATTTTATAGTTAGAGATTTCTTCTCCTTTATATTTTTAATATTTATTATTATTTATTTTCCCTTACGCATTTATTATTATTATTTATTTATTATTTTTAGATATTGGTATTCCAACTACTAAGCTACTAAAATTTTTCGATAATAATTTACAAATAAATTATATTTATATATATATATTTATATATAATTAAATATTTATTTTTTAAATTATTTAATTTAATAAATTATTATAAATTAATCTAATTATGATTAAATTAAATTATTAAATAAAAAATATTTAATTTTTTAATTAGGTGAATAATTAATTTATTAGAATATATTAAGTAATTATTATATAATTTTATAGACGGATATATTAGTCGGTAATTAATTGTTAATTTATCGACGTAAATATCTGTCGATAAATAATTGTTAATTTACCAATAAATATATCCGTCGATAATTAATTATTAATTTACCGACGGATATATTTATAGGTAATTAATTGTTAATTTATTGACGGATATATATGCAGGTAAGACCAAATTCTATATCCGTCAATAATTTTTGTCAATAATTATTCATTTTTCGATGATCACAAATTCGATAAAAATCCGTAAAAATATATGCGTAATGATTATATTTAATAATTAAAAATATTTTTTCTAGAAATAAAACAAACTTAATAATATATTTTCATTACCTTCTAATAAACATGAAAATATTTAATCTCATATTCACAATTATCGAAATTTGATCTTTTAAAATTGATATCATTATGTTTTTTTCAGAAAGATATCATACCAGTATTTTAAGAGACTAGTCCTCCACTCTTATACAAAAATATCACCAGTTTAGCAATTATATATGCGTTACGTTGTATTAATTTCTTAATATATTTGTCATAAAAGAATATATTTTTATGTTATCAATTTAAATATTTAAATTATAAAAATATACATGCAATAATTATTTTAATTAACATGAGTTTTAGTTTAACTATTAAATGCGAATGGGGTTGTTTCAGTTTAAACGATATTTTTTTTAATTTTCTTTCTTTATCGTTTTTATCTTCGTTTTAAAGTTGTTCATATTTATAAAAAACTATTAATAAGTAAAAGTATCCACTTATCATAATATATTTAAAAAAAAACAAGTTCTAAGTATAATTTATGTTCTAAAACTATCTATTTATTACAAATTTGTAATATGTAATTTAAATATTTTGTAAAATTATTTGTTAAAAAAACTTATATATGATCAAATATAACTTAGCGTATGATTATCAACCACAATTTACGACCATGATTCAATGACATAAATTCAAACGTAACATATGACATGATAGTATGTTAGGAATCTTAAAAACTTAAGAAATTGAAAATATTACAAGAGACTAATCATCAAAACGACGTTGACGCAATTTATCTTGTGTGGGGTAGCTTATTTTATTTGTTATTCTTATAACACATTTTATCTGTTTGAAAGTTAGATAATTGTTTGGTATTTACTTTTTATTTGGAAAACATTCTCCAACAATAGTAACCTTATCCAAATTTTCTTGTGTATTATTTGTCTGATAATTTGACTTTGATAAAAAAGTATAACAAGTTGCGGTTAATCTAAGTTTAAATAATATTATGTTTTGTTTATTATTCTTTCCATCATGTTATTATTTTAGGAAAATCATAAAAATCAACCATGATTATTATGATTAATCTTACAATGAATTTGACGTAACATTCTATAAACGACATTTCAATATTTTAATTTCATTAAACATGCACCTTTATACCACAGCTTGAGAAATTAAAAAATAAGGAAGGGAAATACCATTTACACCATCATGATGCACACCACACCTTAATGTCCAAAGTCCTTTATCAAAAGTTAATTTGTTTCCCTATTTATTTATTTATTTTATAAGAAATGAAAGGGAAATTGAAGTTGAAATGTAGCTATCTCATAGCAGAGAGAAAAATAATTTCGAAATCCACCCACCTACCCAATTAATTAATTCTGAAATAATAACTCATGAGAAATTATAAATACACATGCTACGATACAAAATACAATCTCCCATTTCCAATTTTGAATTCACGGAGAGAGGAAAGAAGAGGAAAAAGAGTGGGAGAGATCTCAACGCCCACGTGGACGGTGCTCCTACCCACCTCGCGCCTACCGGCTGCTTCCGGTAACCCTCTTACACGGGATCGAATTTTTAGAAATAAAAAATAATAAAAAAGAAAAAAGAAAAACGGGGTAGGACGGTACGGTCCGTTGCTTGCACTCTCTCCGGGACTCACTTTCTACCGTTCCTCTCCCTCTATAAATATCGGCTTTCGAACTACGGCTCATTTTTTCCTTTCTCTTTTTCTCCCCTTCGCCATTCTTCTCTAGCACCGTTCTCCGGCGAAGTCGCCGGCCAGACACCGCCGTTTCCGCCGGGCAATCTCTCTTCGAGGCGCCGTTCCGTTCTCCTTCAGGTTCTCTCCTCGTTTTACAACTCGCCGTCGTTTGTTTCCCTTTCTTCCTCTCAGATCTGTCTCTTTTTCTGTGCAACCATGAATTCCGCTCATTTCTAAGTCACGCTTCCGAATTTACCTCATGTGCCTGATTTCTATTGCCGTTTATTTTTCTTGTTTAAATCGTGTAATAATGGTGATTCCTCCGTTTTTTATTCCCATGGATCTTGATCTGTTACTTATTTTTCTGTAATGCGCCATTTGTCTTTTCGTTATTCTGTTCGGCTTTTCGAATTCGATGATGCAATTGGTGGAGGCGAAGGTGATTTTTCGTGTTGCTGAAATTGTACTGACATATTTTTTAAAATTTATTTTCCACTTCTCTTTCTATTTCTGGGCTTTAATCTTTACGGAGGGCTGTGTATGTCATAGTTTTAATTAATTTGATTATTTTGATCGTGACACGTGATTGTGCTTTGCGTTTCTGATTCCGTCATTGGCTTTGTGTTTTTTTTTTTTGTTATATATATATTTGGTTGTTTCTGCTTTGGTTGCTAGGAATATGCTTGTTTCGGTTTTTAGCCTTTGACCTTGGAACATATTGTTTTTCTGGATGCCGTAGTATTCATTTCTGATACAGACGTTCGGTTATTCGAGAAATTGATAAAATGGACGGCCATATAGGAATGAGGAAAATCAGTTCTCACTGCTCCATATCTGAGATGGATGACTTTGATCTCTCACGTCTGCTTGACAAACCAAGATTGAATATTGAGAGACAGAGATCATTTGATGAGAGGTCACTCAGTGAACTGTCCATTGGTCTTCCGAGAGCTGGCTTGGATAACTATGAAACTTATTCGCCTGGAGGAAGATCTGGCTTTAACACACCCGCATCATCTACACGGAACTCATTTGAGCCCCATCCCATGGTTGCTGATGCCTGGGAATCCCTCAGAAAATCTCTAGTCTATTTTAGAAGCCAACCGGTTGGCACAATTGCAGCTGTTGATCACCAATCAGAGGAAGTTCTAAACTATGACCAGGTGAGTTCCTCACACAATACTGGAATGTCATATTCCGATCTTAGGGGTTTTAATGATCTCTTTTAAACATGCAAGCTATGGAAACTTATGGTGTGGTCTAGAACTGTGATGAATTAAGTTGTCCTTAACATGCTTCTGTATTACTTTAATTTGAAAATAGAAATACTCTATTACATTTGCGTGTAATGTACATACATTTAATGTAAAACTACCAATAGCCCTTTGATTATTTACTAGTTTTCAGAGGCAATTTGAACCTGAAACATCAAACAATTTTAGGGTTGTGGCTAAATTTTACAAGACATCTAGTCTATGATAACGAAACATGATAACATATGTTTAGGCTATATGTATCAAAAACTTGAATGCAATGAATCTAATAGTACTACAACAAACAAAACAGATGCTCTATTGTATATTTCACGTAACCTTTTAAGTTGAAAATATTTTGGAAGTCCCTCCATTCCTGAAAATTAGCAGAAATGAATGTTGTCGACGTTGAATGTTTGATTGATTCAGACAATTCATTTGTTTAACATACAACCAGCTCCCTGCATATTTTGGAAATGACAATGTTTAAATGAATGTTAGTGAAAAATCTAGCTTAGCACATATCCAAACTGACTAAAGAAATCTCATGCAGGATAAACGAGCGCAAGTGTAGTTATTAAAACATTATCAAAAGATAAGGATTAGTTCTCAACAGCCTTAATTTTGTGCTCCTATAGGTATCAGCTATTTTTCACTTAGACTATAGTTACTTTTTTTATGCCTTATTAGTCTAATCATGCAATCAATTGTTTCTTGCTTCAAATGACTATTGATTAAGAGAAGAAACCTAGGTTTTGTGTTAATGGTGTCCCCCCGTAACGAGTATGACAATTATTATCTTCTTATTGTCACACTGATGGGGATCATCTAAGAATGAGCATGACAATTATTAATTAAATGTTCTTTTTATAGGTTTTTGTTCGAGATTTTGTGCCCAGTGCTCTAGCCTTTTTGATGAATGGTGAACCAGATATAGTTAAGAACTTCTTGTTGAAGACACTGCATCTTCAAGGGTGGGAAAAAAGAGTAGATCGATTTAAGCTTGGTGAAGGTGTGATGCCAGCTAGTTTCAAAGTCCTCCATGATCCCATTAGAAAAACAGATACTCTTATTGCAGATTTCGGTGAAAGTGCAATTGGAAGAGTTGCTCCAGTTGACTCTGGATTCTGGTGGATCATTTTGCTTCGTGCTTACACAAAGTCTACGGGGGATCTATCTCTGGCTGAATCATCATCTTGTCAAAAGGGAATGAAACTTATATTGACTCTATGCTTGTCAGAGGGGTTTGATACATTTCCAACTCTGCTTTGTGCTGATGGTTGCTGCATGGTTGATCGAAGAATGGTAAGACATAATTTGTGGTTGCTTTTCATTATGTTAAGATAATTAATGTTGCTTCTGTCTGTTATCTGGATGCTATAAGAATGCTGTTGGTTACATTCCTTTGTTTATAAACTAAATATGCTATTTTATGGTGTAAATGCAAATAGATTTGTGGTTACAGCTTACAAGTCTTGCCCTTATTCTGTTATGTTGAAATTATTCAAATGAAATGGCAAAAGATTTTTGGATGGATAGTGTTGAGTATTTTTTACTGACAGGGTATCACATTTAAACTGTTTAAATTTTATGTGTAGTTTACTTTCAAGTCCGTTGGGTTAAGCTTCATTCATATTTGGTTGATTTTGAAGAACTTTTATATTGTATTTGATTTTTTCATCTTTCTGTCTTTTTTTCTTGCAGGGTATTTATGGTTATCCTATAGAGATACAAGCACTTTTCTTTATGGCGTTGAGATCTGCTTTGGCAATGTTGAAACAGGATGATGCCGAAGGAAAAGAATGTGTAGAGCGTATTGTGAAACGTTTGCATGCACTAAGTTATCACATGAGAAGTTACTTTTGGCTTGACTTCCAACAACTAAATGACATTTATCGGTATAAGACTGAAGAGTACTCACATACTGCAGTTAATAAATTTAATGTTATTCCTGATTCAATCCCAGATTGGGTATTTGACTTTATGCCAACACGTGGGGGCTACTTCATTGGAAATGTCAGTCCTGCTCGGATGGATTTTCGATGGTTTGCTTTAGGCAATTGTGTTGCAATTTTATCTTCTCTGGCAACTCCAGAACAATCAATGGCTATCATGGATCTTATTGAATCTCGCTGGGATGAGTTAGTTGGAGAAATGCCCTTAAAAATATCTTATCCAGCAATAGAGAGCCACGAGTGGCGAATTGTTACTGGATGTGATCCCAAAAATACCAGATGGAGTTACCATAACGGAGGATCTTGGCCAGGTTCTTCCTTTCTGCTTATTTATTCAAACTTAATAATGCAGGGGTTTGATAGCAGTTATTATACTTCTGACTACCCCACACATGTCAATTAATTGGTTAACCTCACAAGGTGTCCTAAGGCATCAGCTAAGATTTTGTAACAACTTGTTTCCCGTAGGTTTCAAAAATCTATATCCACATAAAGCTTAAGGCTCAATAGCAATCTCTGACATACAACTTGTGTCTGTGTTGCAATATTCAGTTAGGATGATAATATGTCTGTCACCAATAGCAGAAAGCAGGATATGTGGACACTTTGTTTGAATCTTAGTAATTTTGCAAATGTCTTAGGGTTCGCTTATTTGAGCTTTTGATTAAAAAAAAAAAAGAAGTGATTTCATGATGGATAAATGTTTATTTATTTTATAGATTTCATGAAAAGCAATTTTCTACTTACAACTATAGAAGACACTATTTTAAAAGTAGTGAAATTACACTATTTTTTCCAAAAACTATTCAAAACAGCTTCTTAAAATGATCAGAAATATGTTTTTTAGATTTTAGTTTTTTCTGAAGCTTTAAACATATTACATAAATTTTGAGTGTGTTTTTTTTTTCTTCAAAATATGAGTTGTTTGTTAATGAAGAAAAAAAAATGAAACAAAGGAGCACTTGATCTTTAATGCAAAAACACATTGAGAATTGGGAAAAAAGTCATTACATATCTGCAATAGATGTTAGTTTTTGTTCTCAATTGCACGTCAATGTTGAAGCATTGTTGACTATCCTTGCAATTGCAATATGTTATGTTTATATTATAAACATAGTTTTGGTGTCCTTATTTTTTAACTATTCATATTGCTTTGTTTCTGGCTCGAGTGCAGTGCTCCTGTGGCTAGTAACAGCTGCTTGCATTAAAACGGGGAGACCACAGATAGCAAGACGTGCAATTGAGCTTGCAGAGAGTCGTTTACTAAAGGATGGGTGGCCTGAATATTACGATGGTAAACTTGGAAGATATATTGGGAAACAGGCAAGAAAATACCAAACATGGTCTATTGCAGGTTATCTTGTGGCAAAGATGATGCTGGAGGACCCCTCTCACTTGGGGATGATTTCCCTTGAAGAAGACAAACAAATGAAACCGGTTATTAAAAGATCGTCTTCTTGGACTTGTTAAACACTTCAGGTGATAGATAAATAGTATAAAAAACGAATAGAGAAAAGCTTAGAAGGTGAGAGATATTGTTGTTTCAATACACGGCACTATTCTGGTGATTCCCTTCCTCGTAGGCTTGATTGAAAGTTTGGCTTGTGTAAAATGGCTGTTGCTGAGACTGGCATCATGCTCTTCCCAAATAAGTAAAAAGACACTTTTAAAAGACTGGCATCATGTTTGCTAAGTTCAATGCTACCGTCCCACATGTTCACTGGGATTATTAGTAAGAGAAGAAAAAGTATGAAACGTTCTTCATTATATTAATGTGTTTTCTGATAGTTGTCAATAAGGCTTCTTTTAAAAAGGGCCTAGAACACAAAGTATTAGCTTTTCTATATTGAACTTTAGGTCTACTGTTCTCATTGCTAAGAAATTTGGTAAATTATAATTTTTTTACCAATTTTTGGTGTATATGATGTACTTTCTTTAACCTTTTTTTTTTTTTTTCGTTTGAAATCAAGAGCCATTGTTTTTCAATTATTGTTTTCCCTTTATGGTGCCGATCAAATTATTTTGTGGGTAACATTTAACAAACAGTAAGTTTAATTATTTTTTAAGGAAGCAACTTTATTGTTACACAAATAGAAACTTTTTGTAGTTTATTGTGTTGATAGTAGTTAGTGTTTGGTTAATTATAAAGCATAACAAATTAATATATATTTTTTAAACTGGATATAATTTTTGGAAATTACAGTACTTATATTGAAAAAAACAGCTTACTAATTTCGTATTTTTTGGGTGTCTTGTTCCTAATTGCATCTTATTTCTTAAATTTCTTAGATGTATGCGAGTTTATTACTTCTAAATTAGATTACATTTTTTTTGTTATCCTTTGCTTCTATTATAGAATTATATAATTTATTTCGTATTGATAGAAATAGCAAAATAGGATAAGATATTTTGCGATTTAAAAGTGCTCATCGAAGTCGTGTTTGGGCTGAGAGAGTGGCCGAATGCTAATAAATTTGCACCTTCACCTTTCCACGAACATGGTATAATTTGTAACAAATCATAATTTCTGGGCTAGATAGTAACCCCAGGTTTCAATAAACCTAATAGAGTATTCTGGTTTTAAAAAATAAAATAAAATGGAAAGAAAGACAACAGGGAAAATGAAGGAAATAAATAAAAAATGTAAAATGACAAATATTTTCATAAAATAAAGAAATATGAAAACAAATAATAATTATTTATGTTAGGAGTCTTGAGTAAGATAAAAATAGTTATAATTTTTAAAAAATTTAAAACCTAATCAACTACAAATTAATTAAAAAATAATAATCAAGTTGTAAATTATATGACATAGTACTTAAACTTTTAAGATTCTCCACTTAAGAAGCTGATATTTTAGATTTGAACACCCTTTTGTAGTTAAATCTAAACAATTTTACTTTCTTATTTGTTTTCCTTTCAATCAAAAGTAGAAAAATTGTGCAAGAAATAATGGAGGTGTTCAAGAATTTTATGAAAATGAAACAAATTATTGTTAAGTTTACCTCCCTTGATAATTTTTTTTGCTCAAACGAAACTTAATTTTATGAAAACAACATCATAAACGCAATTGCACTGTTTCATGTATATATAAAGTTCCACTTGTAAATTAATCTGTAAAAACTTTTAAAAATTATATGAAAAATTGTACAAACTAAATTCTCAAAATATTTGCGCTAACTTTACTACAATCTCCAACTTTATACTACTCCTTGTACTTCTGGTGAATCCTGATATTGGCGGTAGTATATGGAGTTTTGAACTTAATTTCGTTTGAAAAAGAAAAAGAAAAAAAAAAACAGGTAACACGTGTTTGGTTAATTAATTCAATTTTGATATAATAATCATCCTCGTACATTTATGAATAATTATAAAAATAGTTTTGTTTAACACTGCTGCATTGGTTTAGTGTTCAGAAATAAATTTTAAAGGGTTCATGAATTAGTAATATTTTTAATTCACTATTACTTGGTCAGATTTTTTTTTTCTTTTTTAATTCCACCTTTGACAGTAGGAAAAACCAAACCAAATACATACCCATAGTCCACACCAAAGTAGACATGTCTGTAAAACATTTGTAAGTGCCATGAATGTCTCAATCATCACCAACAAGACCTTTGTGCATAGTATGCACCACTATTATATTATAGGTTGTTTTGAGAAAATAAAAAATAAAAAATAAAAGTAAGTTAAAAAAATAGATGAAAACAAATAAATTAAATATTTAATTATTTGATAGAGTAAAAAATAGAGAAACAAATATTTTGAAGATTATGTAATTCATTCTATTTGATAATAAATTAAGAGAAATAAAAAATAGATACTAAATAATATTTCTTATATTTCAATAATTTGATTTTCTTGTATTAATGAAGTGTTAGAAAGTGTAATCACTCATTTTTAAAACAGAAAATATAATCAGAACATTATGTTAAATAATCACAATTTTCTATGATATAATTTTAACCTATTTCTGAAGTTTTAGAATAAGAGTTTAATCAGGTAACAAGTTAAAATAATTTTTAATATTTTGTTTATTAAAAATATTTTACTATACCTCGAAGTATTTATAAATATTTTTATATTTTAATTCACGTGTTATTTAAGAATAAAATAATAATTAAAATATTGAATATCAAAACAAATAATATTTTAAATATAATGATAGTATACATGAAGTCAAAATGTTATCCATTAAATATAATTTATAAATATAATATATTTTATTAATGTAATTTTTAGAATGAAAATCATGACATAGTCTGGATATAATATGATTTAATGATGTTATATTAGTTGATTTAATATTTAAACATTTTTAATTTTTAGTGGATAAAGTTTAAATTACAAAATACCTAAGCCATTATTGACATATTTTAACATTTTGTAGAAACTTTTATTTTTCTATTAAAAGTTGACCTAGTTCTGTAACAAATTAAAGAAATAAAGTTAGTTGTGTTAAGCATAATTAATTAAAATGATTTGGATACTTAATGCAGTAAATTTGATACAACTTATTTGTAAAGAGATAATATGATATAAGAAGCATAAATTTGGAAAATGATAAAATATAAAGAATTTTTAAATTTTAAATAAAATTTAAATTCTTATTTTAAATAATTGAATTATTCTCGTAAATTCTTGAGTTTTAATTTATTTATTTTTAATTTTTTTATCTAAACAACATGTCTTATTATAAAGATATTAAATTTCTTATAAAAATAAATTACTCTTTGAACTTTTTTTATCATAACCTAAATATGTTTAGATAAACAAAATAAGAAATTTTTATAATTTAAATTAGTTCATGTATAAATTAAAAAATAAAAAAATTATATAAGAGAAATTTCAAAAAATCATTTATATATAAGTTAATTTTAATTTATAAATAAATGAATTTTTCTTACTTTCTAAAAAGAATATTTAGTAATAATCTTGTTTAAAGATACTGGAATGAGAATGCATGCTGCATAACTATTTTCTCTCTCCCAAGACAATGCATTTTTCCTCTTAATCACATGTTTTTTATCAAACCCATTTCCAAATTCTTAAGAAATAATAATTATGAATCTTATCACAATAGTTTTATATTAATAATATATTTTACCACTATATAACCGATATTTATTAATTATTTTGAATATAGTACATGTGAATTATTTTTGTCAAAACCAGCAACCAGTGAAATTAAAAGAATATCCTGCATTGGTGCACATGGTTTGGGCCATGGTCTCTATCTGGGTCCACCAGGGGAGTGGATTGAAGAATCTTGCAACTGGCATAAGTAAGTTGTTGCAGTGGAAATGGGCACAACGAGGCCTAAAAGTCAAAACATGGATCAACTTGTTCAAGTGGGCCTGTCCCAAAAAGTAGCCCAACTTGTCGCTCACATGCCTCCATGTGACCAACATGCCAGCACTCACTAAATTAGAAAAATATATTAAAAAGTAAACATGACAACGTGCACAATTTATATATATATATATATATATATATATATATATATATATATATATATATATATATATATATATATAACTAATAAAAAACACTTTCAACCATAAAATCATAATAAATTAAAGTTTTTTTTAAATATACTAATTAATTTTAAAAATGTTATCTTAAGATTTTCAATTCTTCATATATATTATACTAAAATTTGTTGAAACATTAAATATTTCAAAATTAATTTTACATTGATATCTCATGCTAATACATTCGAATAAATTATTATATATTTATTTTCTTTATATATATATATATATATATATATTAATTTCTCTTGCATCATCGTCATACTTAATCTTTTATGTTTAATCTTAACTTTTACATTTTACTGCACCACATAAGATTAATGTATAATTCAGACATTGGAGGATACTTGTTACAGGAAAAAAGTGACAATCTTTTGTTGTTTTTTTTGTTTCTTTTCACTGAAGTTTAACGTAGAAACATTCGAAAGATTGAAACCTAGGATGTAACAACAGTTTTAAGCTGCAGATGATGTTGTCATACCAGATCCAAAAAATAATATTTGTAATGATTAAATGACAAGATCGTTGGTTTTCATCTACTGAAAATTGTTGACAGAAAAAATTTATATCCTCTAAAACAAGATTTACTCCAAATGTAGCAACAGACGTTGAGAATTACTCAAGTAACTGAATAAGTTTGGACATGCTTGCGTAATCAGAGGCAGATATTTGTGAGACAGTTGTAGTGGGTTGAACACGTTATATATATATTATATGGGGTATCCCCACAACTCCACCCATAAACAAATCTAAACTGTCCCTAACGAAATATCTAGCACTTGCAGTGTCTAAATAATATCAGAGGCTCCAAGATACATGTAGCCATCATGCCCTATCTGCAAAGGATAACATCCCTCCAACCCAACCTGAGAAAATCAGAAGAATTCCCAAAGAAATAAAGGAAGAAAGCAACACTCTCCTTTTAGCTATCAAAAAAGTGATGGGTCAGAACATTTTCAAATGTGCTTTGATCTTTTAAAGATAAGGATATATATATATATATATATATATATATATATATATATATATATATATATATATATTATCAAAGTAGTTGTTAACCACTGTTTTGAATCCAAGAGGATTCGTTCATCTTTGTACGTGAATTTATGAGGATTGATAGGTGATATATATTTTACATTAAATGTTTGTAATTATTAAATATCTATTAATTTTTGCTTCATCAACTAATATTATAAGGAATGTTGATGGACACGAATCATAATATTTTTTATTCTTTTGCTTTGTTTCATATTTTTTATTTTTAAAAACGTCCACATTCATATATTTAACTCTTATCTAATGCATATTTGAAAAATAAAATGAGATGCAAAATTAAGTATATTTTAGTAGTTTAACCATTCAACTTAAAATTCTCAAAAGTATATGGTATAGAAAGAAATTAATCCATACATTAATGAATTATTTTATTTCAATGTAGTTAAGATTGCATTATCGAAAAGAAACTGATAAATATAGTTCTATGCTAATTTCTTATAATCTTTGTCCCACTATATCCTTGCCCAATTGTATAACACATGAATGAAGAAATTATCGTTTCAATGGAGAAAATAAGTTGAAAAGAAATTATTTTAAAAAATTTATTCATAGCATGGTTGTGGTATGTTTGTAGTGGCATGACTGGTTATAATAAAGTTGGAAGTGATTGAGAATTGGCAATGATCCCATCTTAAGTTGGTCCACCAAACACGATAATATATGTACTTCACTTAAAGATTAATCTTTTAGTATAGGTTAGCCATTATTCAACTTATCTAAACATTTTCAATTTTGTGCTCTGTTTTGTTATTCAAGTGCTTTACTAGTTTTAATATTTATAGGATAAATGTTTACTTTTAAATAATTAAATTTTAAATAAATAAATAAAATATATACAATATTAATGATACTACGGATATAAAATAACCGTGAATAATTTCTCAACACATAAAAAAAACGAAATGGATAACGAATAATTTTTTTATTCAAGTTTAATCACCGATTTTTTTATTATTTGTTCTTACAAGTCCAAACACAAACCTGTTTTCTTTGTGAATTGTGATTTTCTTGGAGAATATGCTTAGATTAAATGGTTAAAAAGATAAAAATTTCTATCACTTCCTAAAGAAGAGAAGTGTAGTGTTATTGTTGGAATAACCAATGAAGTGTAATATTAGGAAAAGAGAAGTGAACCAAAAAGAGATTAAGATTTGAAAGAGAGGAGGAGAAAGGTAATGTTGGTAGCTATCTAAAATCCATAAACTAGAAAAGAATAGAGAGTGAAAAAGGTTGAAAAAGATGTATTTAGACTCATCAATTACCAGAAAGTCGGTGGTGGAAATCTGGTCACGCTCCCAACTATCTCCTCCTTCTTCTCCTTTCCAACCACTCACTTCTCTCTCTCTCTTTCTGTAACAACATTCAAAAATTTAATTAAAACAAAAACTTGTTATCTCTTCATAAAAAAAGAAAAGTGTAAGTAGGCACTAAGTGAAGATCACGGGTTGTGACTCTTATCACTCATATCTCATTTAACATTATCGTCATCATCTTCCAACCCACTATATAAGCCACGTTCATGCACAATGCACTCCCGCGTCAAACCTCACAAGAATCACATACCCTCACTTTTTCTCTACCCTAACAACTACACCACTTCCCCGAAAAACCAACCTTTCGTAGTAATATCACCACAAAAATGTCAACACACAATCACACTCTCACGCACTTTCTTCTCTTTCTTTTCTTCTTCTTCGCTTTCACCGCAACAGCAACCGCAGCAGGCGGAAGGAAGCTCCGTTTCGACATGTCAAGCGGCGGTGCACCGTCGTCCGGAACCCCCACGGGAGCCACTGGTTCCGGCCATGGTGCAAACTGGGATTACAGCTGGGGGTGGGGCTCAGGACCCAGCACTGGGTATGGGTTCGGGTCAGGTTCCGGTCGGTCCCCAACTGGCTTTGCTAGAGGTTATGGATATGGATATGGATCCGGTTCTGGGTCTGGGTCTGGCTATGGATATGGATCCGGTAGTGGTGGTGCTCGCGGCGGTGGTTATGGGTCTGGAAATGGCTCGGGGAATTCTGGTGGCGGCGGCTATGGTGGAGGAAATGGTGGCGGTGATAATAATCGGTTGCCATATGCATCTAGGGGCAAAAACAACCATGGGTAAATTGTATATATATATATATATATATATATATATATATATATATATATATATATATATAATAGATATAGATATAGCTAGGTGTGTGTGCCCTGTTTTGACAGAGTGATATTAAATTCTACTTTATCTATAATTATGTAATATGAAAAAAGAAGAAGAAATGATGTGAGTTAGCAAATATATGAAAGTTTGAAGTTGTTCTAATTAATGGAAAATCTTATAATTTGCTATTCTAAGTTCTTTCTTCATCTGTAGATCCTGTGTTTATTTTGTAACAACTAATTAATAAATATATATATATAAAAGAAGGGGAACTTGATTTAATTAGTCATGATGTAAATTATCATTTGATTTTTTTGTTGGAAGAAATGTTCAAATAAAATTTGTGATAGTTCTCAAAGCAAAATGATTTCTTATAAAATGTTAAAAACAAAGAAAAAGGGAGAATTTATATACCAAATAAAACGAACTTAATTAAGCTTTGTTGATAACAATAAAAATACTAAAATCGAAACCACTAAGTCTCGATTTGGGGTTTAATATTTTTGATCATATAAAATTAACGAGTTTTGATTTTAGTTTTTATAATATTATATCTATTTGTCATTATTTTGGAATAATTTTTTTTACTCCTTATAAAATATAAGAATTTTAATTTTAATAGAATAAAATATATTTAAAATAAATCTTTGATAATATATTTTTTTAATTTTTAAAGTTTTTTTTTGTGACATATAAATCCACCAGAGATCACTGTCACACAAACTTTTTTGCCACAGAAATTTCCATACGTATGTTGAATAACACCGTAGTTTTATTGCAATTTCATTTTTTTTAAATCTGTTTTTAGATAAATCCACTTATAGTCTTTACCAAATTTCTGAAAGAATTATCTTCTGGTTGAGTCGTTGTCCCTCACGAGAGACATTGTTACTATGTTGTCTCTTTCGTTCATCATAGTGCTTTATAGAAATTCGTAACATAAAAGACAAATTGATTTGGCCAAAAACAAAGGATAATTGTCTCTCCTACATCATAGATCATGGCAATCACTTTCAACATGAAGGTTGAAATGCAACATTTAAATGTAAAATTTGTAGCCATATAACTTCCCACTAACCCCACTAAGTTATTGTCAACAAAATCTATGTTCTGATCTCCATTTTATGGTTCCTAACATATACACGTGTGTTGTTAAAGCCATTTTTTCCACGTCACAAAGTGTTATAGATTAATTTTATTAATAAACCAATCTCATCAACTTTGGAGGTATTTTATGTGAAGAACAAAAAGTAAACAAAATACATTAAATAAATAATTTAAATTAAAATAATTTAAGTGAGTAAACTTTAGAAAAATAAAGTTAAATAAAATATTTGGAACAAATAAAATACATAGAAGTAGAAGAAGAGAGCTGTAAACATTGTAACTCAATTATGGGTCGGTAATTAATAATTTAAATGAATGGCTATAAGTTTAATTTTTTATTAAAAAAAATACAAAAATAATGTTTATAGAATTCAAATTTTTATTATCTATAACTTTTTAATAGTTTTCAATAATATCACAAGTTGATAATTTTTGTTTTCGATTTGCATCGTCCAATGTGTTGTTTTTGTTTTTATTTTACAATTTTCTACATATAACTTTCTTATTCAACTTCATTTTGATAAATTAATTGAAATAATGGTTCCGACAATTTCTTTTTGCTCCTTACATTTGTTATGTCATATTTAGGTTAAAATTTTCATTTTATTTTCTATAGGCTCCTATTACTTTACATGTTGCTTCATATTACAAAGGCTTTGTGAAGTGAATACCATTAGTTTTACTAGTCTTTTCATTGACATGATCAGTCACCAATTAATATGAGTTGAATAAAAGAAACTTGATTCATTATCATAGTTAGAAGAAGTAGGATTGTTAAGAATCCAATAAATTAAATTAATTAGAAGTGAATGAGATAGTTGAAAGTAAACTATAATTGAAAGTCTTAAGTTATTTAAAAGTTCTCTGGCATCACTTTGATCGAAGGAGAAAGTTGAATAGCACTAGAAGCTAGTCATAGTGATGTAGCACACAAATGCGCTAGAAATATGTGCAGCCACTAGAGTCCCTCTCAGGCATGAAGATTATATTGGAGCAGCCATTTATGTTTCTTTGAAGCTAATGGTTAAAAATAGCAGTTGGAAAGAAACTTCTTCACCCCAACAGATTATGACAAAATGTTGTACGGGATATCTAGTTCTAGACTCTTGAGACACACAAAATAGTTACAAATAATGTCTGATAGAAAATAATGAAACAAAAATATTAGTGGCAACATTTTGACAATATCTAATTATTTTAAAAAAATTATATTTACAATTATTGAAAAGTTAAACATACTTCATCACAAAGTTTTTAATATTAGTTATTTTATTTAACAAAATGATAAGTTTCGAATAAATTTTGTCACAATTAATAAATAGAAACTTATTTATAGGTAGTGCTACCCAGAGAAGCCAAATCAATACTAATAATGAAATTTTAGTATATGGTGTAAGTTAGAGGAGACCATTAAGAGAAGTAAAATTACCAATAATAATGAAGTGTCATGTGTAAGTTAAATATAATACCTCTCCATATTTATTATGAATATCAATCCAACTAACAATCTTTAAGGTGTTATATTTTAAAGTTAACATCGAATTAAATTAACCGTGGGAACACATAAAATATTAACAAATATTTTTTTCATTATATAATAAATTAGCACCGAAGGAAATAATGAAGAACATGATTTATAGTAAAAAAATACTTAAAAAAACTGGTTAGATTTGATAATGTAACGTGCACGGATCTAATTTGTTGAAAAATAAAATAAAATGAGACAAATAAGAACAAAAGAAATAACGAGAGATAAATTTTACCAAAGGAGAACGAACAAAAAGAAATAGGATTTGCTATTATTGTACATGTTATTAAGTTTGGTATTAAACTTAATCACTATTGTCTCAAATTACTTTCAAAAGGAATCCTCTTTCTTACATTAAAATTGTGAGAATAACTAATGCGTATTATTAAATGTAACGCTAAATATCATTCTGATCCATTAAAATGTAGTTGAGTTAAATTTGGTTGGTTAAGTTTGGTTTTTCGCCTACTAATAAGGAAAATGATACTTGGACAACAAAAATTCATCCAACTCCTATAAACAACTATTTTTTAATATTATAATAATAATTTTACTTTATTTTTATTAAATCATTTTATAAATTATTATATTAATAATAGTGAATTGTTTAAAAAATTGTATGATTTCTGGTTGTCCAAATATCACAACTCGATTTTACGCATATTTTGGGGTAATTACTATAGAAAGATGTAGCAACTAAATCAATTGTCACGAGAAATTTATTACCAAGGTAGAAACGTCACTTACGCAAAGTCTTGACCACAACAGTTCTACTTTCATATAATGAAGATCATCTTCAGGAATGCAAGTACATTATATGACATCTTTAATATTTGTCATATGATGATAGCTTAAACTTAGTGCAAGTGCAGAGTTCACGAAACCAACTGAATTCCCTCGTAATAATCCAAAAGAAGAGTTGGGTCACAAAGAACGAAGAAATTCAAAGTACAACAAGAGCGATTTTAATGTGTTTTCCTTGTACCAAATAACTCATCTATGCAATTTTAACTTTAGTCCATGCTTAAGACCTTCGGAACTTTGATATAAGGCTCTTCATAGCTCGGGACAGAGGCGATCATAGCGTCCCTGTCAAGGACACACTACTCTGTTAGCACCGTTAGTTTTCCGGTTACGTCCAATTGACAAATAGTGAACAAGAACAAAAACCCACTCACCTATGGTCAAATGTTTCGGGAGCATTATCACGCAAATTGTTTTCAGTCTCTACAGATAACACGAAAGAATTAGCAAAAATGTGAAGCCAAACCAATAACAAACGATGCTTTCTGCCAGTCATGTAAAAGAACCAATGCGCATAAAGAAATGGTACAAAGACACATTAACTGATTATCACTTTAACATGTCAATTGAAGAAATTGATATGGTGCTTTCCTCTTAGTTTTCCATGAAAATTTATAGACAATAGAAAACCCCAGGCAATTAGCACAATTATTTGAACAAACTGGCATGACAGAGTTGACGTAAAAGAAAGCAATGACTAGAAAGTGGATAATACCGTCCAAGAATTGATTGGCTTTAGTGTAAGGTAGCAATATCACTGTTACATTCATTCCAATATTTTTGCGATGTATAAAGGTTAAATATATTGGATGGGATTACTGTTTTTAATACTGTTCCCTCTTTTGCCTGGTTTCAGATTTTCGCTGATAACTTCCATCTCTTACCTAAGTGGGTTTTAATGTGAATTTTCTCTGGGGTGCTTAACCCCTGTTTCCCACCAAAAAATAAAAATAAAATATCAGCGTCATTTCTCAGTTAATAGTACTAAGGCACTGTACCAATATACTGTAGTACGTGGAAAACAAATAGCCATATCACTGAAGTATATGATCAGGAGTTCCATCCTTAAGTCTCTCTCTCTCTCTCTATATATATATATATATGTGTGTGTGTGGAAGAATATTCATTGAGTGATATTAACTAAAATGGATCAGAAATTAGTTCCTAACATTCAAGCCAGACATACCCAGGTTCTCCACTCCCAGAAAAAGACACCAAGCATTTCTATTTGCTCACACTGAACCAACGTTGTTAAATGGCAGTGACATGATCTACATGGTACGGTGGATATTTTGCCAGCCGCCATAGCTGCAATGGCATGCTTACATGGCAGAGTCCTTCATCACCCGCCATTGATAACATTGGATTGAACGCCATATTCAATTTGATAGTGGGGTTGACGTTTAATGTGCCTTTGAGAATGGGATTGACATCAAACAAGAACACTCTAACAATGCATTCTCAACAGAAAAAAAATGCAACGCAATCACGAATTTACAACCCCCACAAATCCCCAAAAGAAGCTGAAAGAACTTGCCTTTTGCATTTCGAAAGCAAATTCCACATTTTTGGCGTAAAACTATAGTGTAATCAAACGGTACAGAAAATCCAAAGTAAGAATATGAAATCATTGATAGATGATGAAAGTAATGATAAGTGTTCACAAGGAACCTGCTCTGATGGAGGGTTCCACGCTTCCAAGATCAACATCCTGCAGCTGTCCAAACCTGCCACACAGTACAAGTCAATCCAAATTCAGAAGTTTTGCTCACTGCAAGCAATCTTCACAAATATAACAAATCTCCAGTTAGAAACAACCTGCTAGTCCTCAAAAACCAACCAACAAGCTTCCAGAATCCAAATTTCAGGTTAGTAAGACACATTCTTTTTAACTATCATTGTTGTTCTATATTATAAATCAAAATTTATCAACACCATAAAATTATTAATGAATTTCATTAATATGAAATGAAACCTATACAATTTAACAATAGTATTACAGGACAGAGTGTTTTGACTTACCAGTCTATTAATTGTTGGATTTTGGGAGCAATTTCTTCAATCTGTAATAACATTTTAATTAACATTTAAGATTCAGATAAAAAACGTTCATTTGCAGTTAGAAAGAAAATGAAATAACAGAAAACGAAGCAAGACCTCGTTTGGCGTAAGTGAAATTCGAGCAGTTTTCGCCAAACGAGGCAAATCCGGGGCTGGAAGAGACGAAAAGGCGGTGGTTGACGAGAAGCTCCGAAACTTCAACAATTTGCGGTGGTGGACGCTAACCGTTACCGTTGGGAAGAAACTTCTTCGATGCCACACTGCATTTGCAGTTAACGACGCTCCTCTCACCAACCCCCTGCTACTCATCTTCCTCACACAAATTTCCTAGTATTCCTTATCCCTAACCTCCTAAGTTGTTTAACAAAACTTTTTATTTTCAATTTAGTCCCTAAAGAATCTCAAAATTCACGGAATAGTCCTTCTATAAATACACCATTTTTTTTTTCTTTTTCCCAATTTTAATTTTTCATTTGCAAAAGCACGAAGGGAGCGTCGTCGTCGTCGTCATGTCGCGACAGAGATCCAGAAGAATCGAACTACCTCCGGCTCAAGAGGTAAGCAAAATCTATGATCCGTCAATTTTGCTTCTTCGTTTCCAGATTCATCTAAACTGAACGATTTTATTTTCTTTTTTCATAATAAATCAACTATATGTTTTTTTTTTTTTTTCCGAACGACGAACCGTTGCATTGGCTGAAAATTATCATTATACTTTCTATTCGTTTTGTTTTGTTTTTTTGTTTTTTTGTTTTTTTATCTTGGGAAGTGCAGAATATTGAAAAATTGGAGAAGGTTGTGAACGAGGGAAATTATTATGGAGCTCAGCAAATGTACAAATCCATTAGTGCCAGGTTCGTGCAATTTTTTCAGGAGAAATGTAAACTGTCTACTATATATTCTTAATGTGAAATCCTACTTTAAATCGCATGTAATTAATTTATGCATATCTATTTCTCTCGTCTACTAGTGCATGCTTTATGAAATTAATTTGTATAGTAAAAGTTAAAAGCCTAAGATACCAGATTAGTAAAATAGCGAGGCATAGTTCATCATTTGAGGGTCTTGAGAAAGAAATTTTAGCATTGATCAGTAGAGGATAGCAATACCACAATGTTTCATATCATAGGTTTTGGGGGCAGCTGGATAGTGTAATCTAAAGTAGTGTTCTTTTTTTCGTGAATGCTAAGTTTGTTTGGATATAAGGTCTGTTTGATTATTTCTTAGGGATAATACAACACACACAAAATTATTTGTTACTGGATTGATTATAAAAATAGACATGGGACAAGCGACAGAACAAAATTCTTAAGAGTTGTAACTCACTAAACTAACGATAACTCTCTTTCGCATGTAACTTTCTCACTCTCTCCATGCATCTTCTTCTCCAACTTGTTCACTCGTACTTCCCTTTTTAAACATGTTGAATTCAAGGGTTAGTGTTCCAGGTTGAAGTTGTCAAGAGGCACAAATCTTCAACACAAGAAACTAAGAAAAAGGAATAGCGAATATTCTACTAAAATATCAGTTAGAAAACAGAATCTAATTAACACAATTCAATGAAAAATAAGAACAAAAAATAAAGAAAATGTGACAGATTAAAGAAAAAGTGGTGGGGAAGGATATTGGAGAGAGAATAAAAAGCGAGGTTGCTAAGGGGACTTACTCCGACAACATGATTGCGACAATCAACGAGATTGCACTGGAAGATGAAAACCTAAGCGAGATCGCATTGGAAGGGCAAGGTCCTGCGACAGTGGGGAGCGTGATGTAAATTTCAGGTTATTAAATTTGCAAGGTTCGTTGTTCATCAAACAACGTGCAATATAGAAAGTTGTGCTGTGACTTACTTGGTTTTCCAAAGTTGGTCTCGGTGTTCTATCAAACACACCCTTGATTTTTATGAGTAAAGAAGGCAAGGTTATTTGCTAGTGTACAACCTTGAGTTTTATGAATAAAGAAGGTAAGGTTATTTGCTAGTGTACGACATATGGGATTATTTATTAAATACTATTTCAATTTCGTTTTTTGCATTTTCTGGTACATCTTACCCTCTGCTCTTGAAGTTGGAACATCCTTTTTAAATTTATTTATCTGTAAAGTGTACTTTCCCTTTATCGTTCACAAATCCATTCTTGTCATGAACTTCAGTTCTTTTTGGTCAAGCTTTATTATTTGGTGTACAACTGCATTAACTAATACATACTCATCAGATAAGTTGTAGACATTAATGTAACATACTCGTTTTGCTGCAGATATGTGACTGCTCAGAGGTTCTCTGAAGCATTAGATATCCTACATTCAGGAACGTGCATTCAATTGTCTAATGGACAGGTTCTACATTTTCTATTTCAATGTCTTTCAAGATATACTTATGTCAACCTTAGAATCTTTATTCTGTTATATGAGAGTAATTAATAAATTGTTCATTGTTATCATTCTACTATCAACCTTTTTGTTTGGATGGGTGGGGGTCTCGTGGAGCTACGATGGCTTCAAAGACCATGTCTCTGCTATACTTTTCCTTTGTTTGCTGTTATGTGAGCTGTGCTTTGAATAATATAACATGATTGGCTACTTTTCCTATCTAGATTATGTATTTTTGCCTAAGAGACACCTGAAAGCATGGTTGCTAACCAATGCTAATTGCATTTTAAAAAATTTAAAAATTCATAAGAGAAAAATCCTGCCCATTTCCATTTCTATTTTAAATTTAAATTAATTTTTAAAACGTATTTCTGATGTTAAGATACATATTAATGAAAAAATTCAGTACGCTTAAGAAACAGTAAAGTTTAACAGTTATTTTTCCATTTATCGAAGGTAACCTGCGGAGCAGAGCTAGCTTTATTGTTTGTGGAGATATTAGGAAAAGGAAAAGTTCCTTATGATGAGGAAATACTTGGTGTGTTCTTATCCTTTCTCATACAGTTTTATTTTTATGAGTCATAATCTTTTTGTAAGTTTATTTGTGATCCAAGCAAATTATTTTTAATTCTTAATTTCACGGAGAATTTTTTATTCGGTAATTATCACGAACTTGCATAAAAATATTCATTCTTATTTGGATTCATATAGTATTTAACCATGAAACAGTCCTTATTACTTACTAATAAATTTTAATGGTAGAACGTCTCAAGAAAATCTACGAATCATTCCCTCGGGTTCAATTGCCTCAACACCTGTGGGATGTTGATGACATGCAGCAGCTTTCTGAAAACATTCGAAGTGCAAAGACACGTGTTGAGGGCTGCTCGTCATTCTTAAAAGCTGCTATCAAGTGAGACTTAGCACAAATTAAAATACTCTAGATTATATTTTACATTTACAAAGTCCCCTCCCTCTCTTTTCCTTGCAAGTGAATGTCAAATAATGTTGTCTTTTTCTTAAAAGTTGTAGTTCAATTCATTGTTCAGTTTACAGAAAGATATTATCTTTAGATATCTTGTTAATATTTATAACTGAGAATCTATTTTATCAAAAGCAAGCATATATATTTCTATTTGGGATTATAATTTACAAGCAATATTAGACCAAAGAGTTAGCTATATCCAATTTGAACATAATTGGGGAGGGAAGGGGGTGAGGGAGAGTGAGAATGTGGAATGGAAGACAAAGCATGTAAAATGTAAGTGAATTCAAATTGTCATATCATATTCACATTCAGGTGCTCACTTCATATTTATTTAGCTTGTTCATTTAGTTTCCAATTTTTGAGCTTGACAGAGACCAGAAATATCAGTAGCGATTAAAAGGGAAAACACAGCTCAATAGTGGAAAGCAAGTGTGTATTATTTCTGAAATGGAAAGATTACAAAGGAAAAATCATTCCTATTGCCTAAAGCTAGTGCTGATAAGACTTTTGTGCTCATAATTATAATGAGTGTGCAGAAACTTAAATTACTCGTGGGGAAAAATTGTTGGGTTGTGTTATTATATGATGTGATTTTAGGGTGGATGAGGTGAAGGAATGCTTTGAGTGTTATTTGTGATAGAAAGGTACTGCTCAAGCTTAAGGGGAAGTTTCACCCACAGCTCTGAGCTCCAATGTTGAATGAAACCCAATGTTGTGTGGTAAAAAGTCAACTAGAGAATAAATTGAAAGTAGTAGAGATAATAGTGTTGTTGGAAGTCACCATCCTAATGCAAGGGAGTATGTTAGAAATCCTACATCGATTAGAGATATAGCCAAATTATAGTATATCTTGAAAAATAGATTAACTGAAATATGATTTTTTATTATATCAATACAAAGAGATGATATAAGATATATACAAGAGACCTAAACTATTTTAGGAAATATAATAACTCTATTTTATGCTAGGATCCCTTGATTTATGAGATTGTTCCTAATTATTCAAATCTATGCAGATTACAAAGAAATATACAAATTTCCTTATTTATTCTTTCCTAAAATACTATTTGATTTCTCACACTCCCCCTCAAGTCTGGTGAATAGATGTTTTCCATTCCCAGCGACTTGGATACAATCTTCTCAAAATTATGGCGACTCGAGTCCCTTGGTAAGAATGTCCGCAATTTGGTCTTGAGAGGACACATATGGAGTGCATATCAAGCCACTATCAAGCTTTTCTTTGATGAAGTGTCTGTCTACTTCAATATGCTTTGTTCTATCATGCTTGCACTTGGGTTGTGGGCTATACTGATTGCTGACTTATTATCACAATAGAGCTTCATAGGTTCTTCCCACTTTATCCTCAAGTCTTCTAAGATGATTTTAAGCCATAGCAACTCACATATACCTTGTGCCATGGCTCGGAATTACGCTCAGACCTTGGACCGAGCCACTACACCTGCTTTTGCTTCTCCAAGTCACAAGATTTCCTCCAAGAAAGGTGCAATATCCTGTAGTTGACCTCCTATCCACAATTGACCCTGCATAATCGGCATCGAGTATAGGCTTCAAGCTTCACATTACCATTCCTTTTGAATAGAATCCCTCTTCCTGGAGTTCCTTTAAGGTACTTGTAAAATTACGTGGGCAGCTTGTAAATGGGTCTCCTTTGAGCTATGCATAAATTGGCTAATTAAACTCACTTGCATAGGCAATGTCCGGCCTGGTATGTGACAAATATATAAGTCTGCCCACTAATCTTTGGTACATATCTTTTTCAACGACAACATCTTCTCGCATTTCCAAGCTTTAGGTTTGGTTCTAATGGGGTACTAGCGGGTTTGCAAGTTGCCTTGCCAGTTTCCTTGAACAAATCGGTGATGTATTTCTGCTGAGATATAAATATCCCTTTCTCGGAGTGGGCAACTTCAATTCCCAAAAAATATTTTAGTTTTCCCAAAGTCTTGATCTCAAATTCCTTGCCTAAGCATTGACTCAATAATTGTTGCTCTTCTTTATTATCTCCGAGTTAATATTATGTCATCCACATACACCAATAATATTGTTACTCCCCACGACTTGGAATGTTTAAAAAACAAAGTATGGTCCCCTTGGCTTTGTTTGTAACCCGGACTTGTCATAACTTTAGTAAACACTGCCAAACCATGCACGGGGACTTGTTTTAACCCATATAATGCCTTTTTCAACTTGCAAACGAGTGTTGGCGGCAACATCTTTACCATATCCCGGAGGTATCTCCATATAGATTTCTTCTTCAAGGTCTCCATGTAGGAAAGCATTCTTAACATCAAATTGTTCCAAGTTCCAACCATAATTGGCGGCAAGGGACAATATCACCCTAACCTGTGTTCATTTTGGCAATCGGAGCAAAGGTCTCCAAATAATCAACTCCATAGGTTTGGGTGAATCCTTTGGCAACTAGTCTTGTCTTATATCTCTCAATTGATCCATCGGCCTTGTATTTCATTGTATAGACCCATTTACATCCAACTGGCCTCTTTCCTATTGGTAAGGTGACTAACTCCCAAGTGTTGTTCTTCTCCAATGCCTCCATCTCTTCATCCATGGCTTGCCTCCATTTTACGTCGGACAATGCCTCGAGATAGGGTATTAGGTAGAAGTACGGTGTTTAGGTTTACTAGGAAGGTTTTATGGGTAGGAGAGAAATTTTTAAAGGACAGGTAATTTGAGAGAGGGTAGAGTGGTCTGTTTGGTGCATTTTCTTGTTCCTTTTCTAATGGCAATTGGGAGGTCGGAATCATTTTGGGTTTCAATTTCAACACATGCAGTTGGAGAAAAAATTGTTACCTCTTTTTGTGGAGTCGAGTTGGATTCTTGAACATGGCTTGATCCTGGAATGGCCTTAGTCTTCCTTGAGTACACCAGCTTCTTACCAAATTTTCCAGTTTCAACATCTTCTTGATCAACTTCACAATTAATTTCACTTTCTTGACCAACTTCTTTTGCTTGACCAATTCCTTGACTTGTTTCATTTGTTACAACTTCAATTTGATCTTGTTTAGGTTCAAATATCAAGTCTGGAAGAATGGGAAAACCAAAATCACTACTTTCCTTATCTTCCCTGAAACTCTCCCCTTGAAGATAAGGTTGATGGAAATAGCCCTCTTGTTCATTGAAGGTAACATCCCTAGACACAAAGAATTTTTTGGATGGGGGGTGGTAGCATTTATACCCTTTTTGAGTGGGTGAGTAACCAACAAAGACACACTTTAAGGCTCTAGGATCAAGTTTTCCCCATGTCGTACTATGAATATGGACATATGAGATACACCCAAAAACTCTTGGTTTAAGATTATTTGTAGTAGACAAGTTTGGATAGAAAGACGACAAAACTTCCATAGGGCTTTTTGATCCTAAGACTCTAGAGGGTAGTCTATTGATAAGGTATGTTCTCTGTAAGGACGACTTCCCCCGAAATTTTTTGGGACACTTTTTTGGAACAACAATGCCCGAGTCTGATTTAATAGATGTCCATTTTTCCTCTCTGCGACCCCATTCGTTGTGGTGTTTTGACACAAGAGGACTCATGAATTATACCTTCTTTTTGACAAAAAGAATTAAGGACATGATTGAAGTAATCTTTGGTATTATCGACCTAAGCCTCTTAATATTAACACCAAAGCTGATTTTTTATCATGGAGTGGAAGTTTAGGAAGACAGAGCCGACTTCGATTTTTGTTTAAGTAGGAAAACCCAAGTGACCCTTGTACAGTCATCTATAAAGGTGACAAACCATCAAGTACCGAGACACATTTGGAATATTAGAAGGTCCCCATACATCGGTATGAACAAGATAAAAAGGGAAATTGCTAATTCTATTACTTATTGGAAAAGATATACGTTTGTGCTTAGCAAGTTCACACACCTCACAATGAAGACTCTCGACATCTAACTTGGTAAATAGAGAGGGAAATATAATTTTGATTACTCCAAAAGAGGGATGTCCCAACCGACAATGATAAAGCATGATTTTTTCTCTGTTGGTCATCAAGGATTCGAGATATGAAGGAGTGAGAGATTCTATTCTTGCTTGGGCGAGACTTGGATCTTCGAGATAATAAAGGCCATTCCATTCTCTAGCATGTCCAATCATCCTCCCAGAATCCTTATCACTGAAATACACAATGATCGTTGGAAAAAACAACTTTACATGACAAATCCTTTATAAGTTTTTGTATAGACACTAGATTCGTGGACAACTTTGGGACATGGAGAACGTCTTTTAAGGTTATTAAAGGATTGATTTGGATATTTCCTTGACCAGTTGCAGTTATAAGGTTTCCATCTGCTGTGGCAATTTTCTTGTTGCTTGGGACATGGGGAATATGTGGAGAAGTGTTTGGCTAATGGTGTCATGTGATCTGTGGCTCCGAGTCCAATATCCAATAATGGTTAAAAGGCGTATCCGAGACATTTAATCCAAAAGAAGGTGGAAACTTACCCGAGTATGCCAAAGAACACGTACACTGTAGGTTTTTCCGACTTACTAAGAATGGTTTTCACCCTTTCTATCTCCTCTTCCCTTGACATTATAGCAAAAAGGTGCGATGCAACAACAATGCGAGTCTGTCGTCTTAGGATTATGAAAAATGCAGCGACAATGTAGGTCTGTCGTCTTAAGATTATGAAAAATGCAGCAGCAATGTAGACTGCCGTCTTAGGGTTAAGAAAAATGCAGCAGCAATGCAGGCTGCCGTCTTAGGGTTACAAAATATGCAGCAGCAATGCAGGCTGCCGTCTTAGGGTTTATAGAGCGCAGATAGAGTTTCCTAGATTGGAAGCTCTGATACCATCTTGAAAAATAGATTAACTGAAATATGATTTTTTATTATATCAATACAAAGAGATGATATAAGATATATACAAGAGACCTAAACTATTTTAGGAAATATAATAACTCTATTTTATGCTAGGATCCCTTGATTTATGAGATTGTTCCTAATTATTCAAATCTGTACAGATTACAAGGAAATATACAAATTTCCTTATTTATTCTTTCCTAAAATACTATTTGATTTCTCACAATATATAAGTAAAGTGTAAACCTCATCTTAGAAGTTAGTCTTGTAAGATTGAGTTAGATACATATCCAATTCCTTAATATGACATAAATGTAGTAATGATGATATTTTGTGCAACCTTTATTACCTGTTATCGAATCATTATTAAATAACCCTCCTTGTTATGTTGTTGGAAATCACCCATTATTTCACTGCTAGTTTGGCAGAGATTTGGTGTTTATAGTAATGACTTGACACACTTTCTTACACTCCAGTGATCTTGACATTTTGGTTTTTGTTCTTAATTTCAATGCAAAATTGATGCGTACATTTTTTTTTAATTCTATTTATAAATTGATGTGGGCCATATGAAAAGTAAAAGTCTACCAACATCCCAATGTTGGGAAACGCATACCAAAATACTGCAGGGGCAAGAATTTTTCCATCATTGGATCCTTGCGAAAGAGCATAAAACTGTGATAGTATATTTACATATTAAAGCACAATTGAACCTTGCAAACATGATAGCCCAACAATCACAAGTTAAACCTCTACAAAATTCCACAAAAACCGATTCCTCAACCATCTCATGCTCAAGGAAGGGAGAACAATGCCAATTGCACGATAAGGACAAAGTATGTGACATGATTAGGGCTTGAGACACTGCCTATATCTATGAACTTCTTAGAGTTTTAACCTTGTAGTACTAGGACTTTAATTAAGAGTCTGATATATGTGAAACATGGCTGTTTCTCTTTGTGTAGGCTTTCCTTTAAGTGAGCTCATACATTATGAGCCCAACCCATAAGAAATATTATAGTCCTACTTAATATTTCTTTTCCTCTTTAATCTGCCCTATGCATGTAACCATGTAGATTCTCATGACATTGACGATAATATTAAATCTATTGAATATTGTAAGCAGTGAAGAATATCTAACTATACATCACTGTTAGACAGTTAACAAGAATGTCTTTGATTTGACATGAGCTTTTCATGACAAGCGATCTTGTGTATCTTAATCCATTTGTCTACATATCATAATTGAACGCATGACAGATTGTGTCATCCTTTTGTAGTTCAATTTATCTATTTCTTCAAACCAAAGCAGACAGAAGAATAAATGAGATATACTCATGTGAAGACTTGATATCTCATATCCATGATTCATATACTAATCTAAATGTATTATCGTTATTTGTAGTAACAATAATATTTGATTTGGGATATCTAACAATAACATTAGATAAACTATTTTATGCACTTTATTATGTTCCAATATACTTGATAATAAAATGCCACTATCATTAATAGATAAATAAACAAGATAAAAATGTAAACTATGAAGTATTGGCCCCTGGTACTAACACCAACATCCAAATCATAAGCATACTATATTTCAGTTGAATTGGTAGGTAGCTAGGTCCTAATGGTCTTGATTGACCAATATAGCCAACCCCACATGGTGGGATAAGGTTTGGTGGTTGTGGTTCTAAGCCGAGATGGACCTAGATTGTGTTTAATTAGGCTAGCCAAACAAAAAGAACAACGTTGAAGAAGTGATTAAATCACAAAGTATCTTGTTAATGAGTAACTTAAAGGCACTAAGTAAAGAACGTCTGGTACACTCTATCAACTAAGGACATGTTTAGTGTTTAGATTTGTGAGAGATTATTGTTTTATTTTCTAAATAGTCTCTCGTAATTGGTAAATAAGTGATTTTTTCTTTTTTCTTTTCATTAAGCTAAGACGCACACTTGCAGTTAATGTTGTTTCCAATTAAATATAAGTGTTAAAGAAAAGTGAAGAAAAGAAAAGGAAAAAAGAGAAGAGGGTGCTACATATTTTTCAAAATCCTTTCCTTCATTTGATTTATGAGAAAACACGAGAGGAAAGAACAAAAAAGTGGGATCCACATTAAAAGTGGCTCTATCCTTCATAATTATACCATGTACAAACAAAATTGTTATTTTTCATTTTCAATAGAGGTCAATTATGTCTTTTAATAAACACACTTTTTTACTCTCTTAAAAAATCGAAACAATCATCTCATTTTCTATCTGATCTTTCTCTTATTAACCAAGTGAAGCATGTAGTGTCTTTACAATAATAAATAGCATTTACCTATTAAAATAATATTAATTATTCCTTAAAAACAAACTTCTATGCAAAACAAATGAAAGTATTCAAATCCTGAAAATATCCTCTCCAGGAGGGGCATATATCTACCCTCCCCAAATCCCACTTGGTGGGAGCCTTGTTGTACACTTGGTCACTCCTTTTCTAAATTATGATAATTTGTTCCTCTGAATAAGAGTTTCTAACTTTGCTGCTATTGTATTCAGGTGGTCTGCCGAAAATGGAGAAAGTATTAGTGGATCTCCAGAGCTGCACATCATGCTAGCTGAATACATATTTTCTGAAAGTCCAGAAGTGGTAAGTTTCGACCTCTTCTCTTGAATCTTCTTTTCTTATCTTTGGTTTTTATGTTGAGAACAAAAAAATGTTGTAGATATGTAACGCTGTTCTGTATCAACATTGAACAAATTAAAATAAAATTAGTTGTCTAAATTTAGGTTTTTTATGTGTACTGCATCCATGAAGATAAGGAGAATTGGGAAGCCATGGCATGAATATTTGGAGAGTCAAATTGTTTGTTATTCATTTGCTATGTAAGACTTTGAATTTTAAGGATTAAGGAAAAATTATGGCCGGAAAAAATTATGATTTTAAGGGGAAGAGTTTTAATGATTGCTAGCCAAATAAATTAGGCCAAGGTTCTCAGGTTCGGAATTTGTTTATTTGCAAATTGTAGCAGGTCATCTCTCTGAACATTTGATTTATTTTCAAATCGGTTCTGAAAAAGATCGAGTGAGTGAATAAGTTATGGCGTCTAAAAGAGTGTTGTTGATAGAAAGGGTTTTTGGTAGTAGCTAGAGATGATGGCACCATTGGATGTCTCATAACTTCTACTTTGTTTGTGAATTTAATGGCAAAATTTTGTTATATAGATAAGCTGGGAGTCAGGCTTGGTGACTCCTTATCTCCTTTCTTGTTTAGTCTAGTGGTAGCTGTTTTAAGCTGATACTTTCAATGGCTCTGTATAGGGACCTCATTTAGAGTATTAGAGTTGGTTTAGGGCAGGATGTGATATTTTTTTGGAAGAGGACAGCAACTCTTTTTATAATCTTATTTCTACCCTAATTTCCTTGAATCTGTCTTAGTTTACATGAGACTGAGGCAATGCTGACATAAAATTTAGTTACTGATAAATTAAATAGAACGTGACAAAATAGGATATACTGTTGCATCGATTGTGTGGAGCAAATGATGTATCTGGATTTTTGGGCTGAAATTGAAAAGGCGTTATGCTGTGAAGCTTTGCATGCCTTTGAAAAATTTAAGTTACTATAACATTTATGCAGTGAATGAATATCAAAATGCTTTTTATATGCAGGATATGACTAAAGTGACATATCATTACGTGAAAGGAAATAATCCAAAGAAGTTTGCTACTACTCTCGTGAGTTTTTTGGGCAAGGTTAGCTCCCTAATGTTTTTTTTCCTTGTTTTTTGGCTCAACTTTCCAAAAACATGTGGAGGCATACCAAAAACTTTTGAACTTTCTTTTTAGCTAAAACCTTGGTTCAACATTTGTCATGTTTTAATTATGCTATGAATGTTATATTATTTTGATTCTCAAACTTAACTGGAAGAGATAACTGATGCATTTACCTTTTTCTTTTGGCATATTTTTTGGGAAGGATCAACTGATGTGTTTTTTCAAATGTTGTAGTGTTATCCTGGTGAAGATGATTTAGCCATTGCAAGGGCAGTGTTAAGGTAAAAGCATTTTAGTATGTAATTCTCTTTGGATTTCCTGCAATAACAATTTCCGACAATTGAATACCCAGGATGCTGAACATGCATTTATACCGGGATGAAATTTATGTTTTGCTTATTGCATTACAACTGTAGTGAATAGATATTTCTTAATGTTATTTTTTGTGTTTGTGATTGCATTTTACTTGGCTGAAATATTGTTTGTTATTGCAGTATGTCTTAGCAATAAATTCTCATTCACTTTATTGTCAAAACAAACACTTATTTATTCAGATCATGGAATGCAAGATTAGGATATTGTTTCTTGTTAATAAAAACAAACTTAAAAAGAAACCAGATAATTGAATCATTCTCAAGCTGTCCTCCACTCCCCCTCCCTGTTATGGTATCTGTAGTTTAAGTGATAATTTAGGAAATTTTCATTTCAGTTGTACTAATCATCATTGATGCATACACCCCCACGACCTAGCGGGCATCCTAGGGGTGACAATTGATGTGTAAAGACACAAATCCACTGTTTTCGATGATGTTGACATGCTTACTAAATTTAAAGTCCTTGTTTTGTTTGGTTAGTGTCTTTCACCTGTAATTCCATGCTTATTTCAACTTGGTTTCAAACTGATGAATTGCTCATTTCTTGCACAATAGGTATTTATCTACAGGTAATTTGAAAGATGCGAACATACTAATGGACGAGATAAAGAATCAAGTTGAATCAGCTGAGGTTACGTTTCCTAAGTCAGAGTTGATGCAATTCATTAATTATCTTTTGCGAACGTAAGTTTTCAATGTGGTTCGACTTAAACCAATAAATTGATCAATTTCTGTTCTAAATGCAGACATAGAAAATGGGCATTTTGGATTACTTTCATCTATTAAAGGTTATGAAAACTTCACTTTGGTATCTACAATCATGTCTCTATTCCTTTGAAACGAATTAAAGAAGTCAAAATAAATTAAGTACCTTATTCTGCTGTCAGGACTGGAACTGAGACATGATCAATTGTTTACACTTGATAAAAGTGAAGCAAAGTGCTCATCGTAGTGTGTAATAGATGGAAGTTACATAGGAGTCATATTTTGTGAGAGTACTTGATTGATATGAGATTGTGTTTATAGGAAGGGGAGTTCTCTATTTTATTAGTTTCAAATTTGGAGCTCCAGTTATGTTGCAAGCCAATGCCTTTTTTTCTGTTATGCCAGGTTGGAGAGAGATGCTTTGCCTCTTTTTAATATGTTGAGAGCAAATTTTAGGCCAAGTATTGAAAGGGAACCAGCGTTCAATGAGGTCAGATAACGTACAAAACCGAGTCATGATCTGTTTTCCTCTCTGTTGGTAGACATAGCAGTTAGCAAATGAATATGTGGCGTATCCGTATTGTCCAATGAAAGTTCTAACCAGTCTTGTATTATTTTATTGTGGTTAGTTTTGTCTTTGAAACTAATATTTCAAGCAATTTTCTACATTTTATGTGACAAACTCTGATTCAGATGCTAGATGATATTGCGGAGAGGTTCTTTGGAGTACAACGAAGGAACCCCATGGGGATGTTTGGTGATATATTCAAGGTGACTACTGATAGTTTTCTGTAGTTCAATATTTACCTTGGCATTTGCAAAATCACATCTTTTGAGTTTTGGGTAATGAGAATCTCAAAGAATTAAGTTCTGTGCTAATTCCTTATGCAGTTGATGGGAGCTGAGTAATGATAATCATTATGGAGATAATATAGCCAGATAGAGCAGCAACTTTACGGAACATTCAAATATTTTAATTTTTTTTTGTTTGATGATAGAGCAAGTTTACCTTATCGATCAAAATATGTGTTATCTCGTGATTTGTAAATTTTTTTTAATCATTCCGTACCCGTTTCAAAAAATTTTGATGTAAATTTTACTTCTATTTATTCTCGTTTCCTGGCAAAATCGGGGTTGAAAGCGGAGAACCAAAACTTTTCTTCCCCTCGCGAAGCAATATGCTAAACTTTGCACAAATTAGATTAATCTCGTATCTCTGCTGTTGAATTTTCACTTTTTTGGTATGGACATACTTTACAGGAGGGAATTAAAGTAATCATCACGCCAAATCTTCCTGTTGAGCATCTCTTTCAATAAACAATTATCATGATGTTTGCCGCATGCGATCTTTTTTTTTCAAACGCCGTCAAATTATTTATATACTACAAAGTGTTTTTGCCCTTCAACATTTGACTTTATTTTACACAATCGTCAAATTCTCATTTGCTCAAAATAAATAAATAAATTGTAAACTGAATCAATTGCGCCATCTAAACTTGTTCGAAACTATCAAGTAAACTATTAATTTGATCTAAAATGACAAGTATTAAATGTTCTATTCAAACTAACCTCGCTTTATATAAATCTTCTAAATTTATCAAATTCATTTGCATTTAAACTTAAAAATTTATTGCATATCCTGTATTCGTCATAATTTTTAAAGCACTTGCAGAAAATAATTTGAAGATTTAAAATAAAAAATATAGTAATACATAAAAGATTAAAATAGCACAGTATCTTTAAATTCAAATCTTTCGTTAATATCCATAAATCATAATGCTCTTAACCGCACACGTCCATATATATTTTTTTACAATGATAGCAACAAAGTTACGAATTAAGACTTTTTGCAAACCAACTAAACCCCACCATCACCAGTGGGTATGGTCTTAGTGGTTCCTCTTTTACTCTACTAACAAGTCATTAGATATTTTGTTCAAACATGCAGAAAAGGAATTTGGTCTTTTTTGTTCAAACTGCATGAAATTTTTACTAATGGCACCATATGAAGCAGAACGCTGAACTTTCCAGAAATTATATAATTGACATATGTCATTTATTGATAAACAATATACGGAACTAGTTGAAATGTTGGAAACCACATAAAACTCTGGAGTTACTCATCAATTAAAAAGACCACTCCATTGTCCTTCTTAAAGTTGTGTGTGGTATGATCAATCACCTGTTCATAAAATTAAAGGCCATGTGAGCCCGCGCAACATCGACTAAAACATAAAATCCTACAAATGAAAGGACCAATTATCCTGGAAATAGATAGGTGAAAAACTTACGTTTGTATTGCTGAGCTCTAGATTGTAAAAGTCCATTGCATCTCCCTTAAATAGAGGACCAGCATGCCATGTTCCCTGGTTAAGCTTAAGAAATTTGGAACCTGCAACCTTGAAAACTTGGACATCCTCAATGTCAGGAGGCACATATGAATGACCGGAATGGGACTGCACAATCTTCTTGCCATTTTCATCCTTTATTTCATTTGAATCAACAACGGATGCCTTTGCCACTCCAAGATACCAAGCATGGCCACCAACAGACCCGAGGCACTGAGTCACGTTTGTATGATGTGTAATGCTAGAGAACCTGAGCGGGCGATTCTCAAGATGCATAATGTAGAACCTATCAAATACACATGAATTCCCATAAGCTTACCAATCCAAATAAGAGAGCCTAATAATTATACAACCTCAATAAAGTTGATGATCTATGCACACAAAAACATATTTGGCACAGATTTCGCTAGGGTGTTCGCATTGCAGTTTGGTTTAGATTTGTATTAAAATAAAATTTAAATGTGGTTTGATTTGGTTCGATTTTAATTTTAAAAAAATCCAAATCAAATCGGACAAATATTTTGCAATTTGATTGGAACAGTTTTTATAGTTTTTTTATTATAAAATTATGAAACATATTATAATAAAATAATTATTAAGTAAAGAAATATATTATGAAAACATCATCCATAATTAACTGTTATATTCATAATTTTAATTTCTTTTCATATGCTTTCATATTCAATTTAAATAATAATAATAATAATATATCCTAAATTATAAGAAACTAATGATTTATTCACGTTAAATTTCATTTTATATTTTAATTTTAACAACATGTATTATAATTTCGGTTTTTTTTTTATTGATTCTATTTTGAACAACTCTAACTATCGCAAAGTTTCCACAATGAATTCCATAGTTCCTATGCCTAACAATTTTGATTTATAGGTAATTTACCGGGTGGCTCATTAGAGCACAAACCTCAAATTTATTCACAAAAACAAAAAGAAAGAAGAAAAAGAAAAGGATAACTTGATGTACTTCATGCCATGATAATACAATCCAAACAGCAAAGATAATACTGCCACATGAAATAAAAGAATCAACTCATCTCTAAAAATCTATGATTGGCAAAAACATAGACTAATCAATCAAATATTAATGACCAAAAAAGACGAACAATTTACTGCCAAAGATATTTTGCTCTTAAAAATTTGTACCTGAATTTATTTTTGAATACAAAATAGCCTTTAAAAAATTTAACCTAACCCTTGTGCTAAATCTCCATCACCAAAGTTAGCTGTTGCTTTCATCCCTATTGCATTGAGTACTGTAACCCGGCAGAGAGTATAACTCTCACTTTTGCTTCTCTGAAACAAACCCCCTTGCATGGTTGAAGGGAAAGAGTATTGAAACCAAGATTGAAGTCAAATTGTTGGCATTCCAGGTTGGTTTTATTACTCTATCAAGTATGAAGCACTGATCTTATTGGTGCCATAGTTGAGTTGACCTCTACCATTCATAAGGAAAGTATGCCTCAATTGAATCCCAGTTACTTCCTACTTCATGATTCTTTTAAGTTACTCAGATATTGATAACAGATGGTAAGAAAAATTTCCCAATTCTATTTATGCATTTTTTTTCAAGTTAAAACATTTAATTGCCCGCAAGACTAATTGGATAGCATCAAAATTAAATTCTATAACAATACAAGTGGAATTGAGCATAGGCAAAAAACAAAGGGTGGGGTGAGAAAAACCCTAAAAATGGAAGGTTGATTGAAAGATGAAACCTGGGAGTTCCTCGGGAAAGTTCGAGTTGGGCGTCATGGGGACCGAATTCTTGGCCATCCGGCGAAGCCTCGACGACCTGGCCGTAGTCCTTGAAAGTTGATGGAGTTGCTTCCGTTGGTTTCAGTGTCACTACCTTTGTCCCCTCCATTGGAAATTATGCCTAATTCACTCACCACAATCTCACACGCAAGAAGATGATGTCTATTTGTTGTTGTGTGTGTGGGAAATAAAATACATAGAGGGCTAGAAATCTGAATGATTTTAAAAAACTTAATTATTAATGATTTTTTTAGATGTTTTGAAATACATAATTTTTTAATTATAATATATTTTTTAATGACTGTTCATTTTGTGTAAAAATTTTATTTTAATTAAGTGAGGTTTTCACTTTGTTGTGTATGGTGTAGTTCTGCAAAAGCAAAACCCTAAAGTTAACCCACGCGCTCGCGGAGAAGAGATGATGAGGGAGGAAGAAGTGGTGGAAAGCATAACGTCGATTCTGCAAGAGAAGAATAAGAATGGAAAATTGGAATCGGAGAAACTGAAACCATTCATCCCTCTCCTCACTCTCCCCCTCGTCAACTCCATTTTCTCATGCAAGACTCTCTGCTCTCATCCCATGACGCTCCTCTCCTTCTTCAACTGGCTCCAAATCCACGCGCCACCTCCGTTCCGCGCCTCCCCTCACGTGCTTCTCTCCCTCCTCCCTCCCATCCTCTCCCGCCACAAATTCTCCGACGCTAAGTCCCTCCTTGTCTCCTTTATCTCCTCCGACCACCGCCACGCGCTTCACGCGCTCCTCCTCTGCCCCCCCCCCCCCTCTCCAAACCCGTCCTCGACACCGCCCTGGGCGCCTACGTCCAAGCCGGCCACCCCCACCATGCCTTCCAGCTCTTCCAAAAAATGAAACGACTGCATTTTGCCCCCAACCTCCTCACTTGCAACACCCTCCTCAATGCCCTCGTCCGCTCCCCCTCCTCCAACTCCACCCTCCTCGCCCCCGGCGTCTTCCACGACGCCCTCGCCCTCGGCGTCAAGCCCAACACCAACACCTTCAACATCCTCATCTATGGCCACTGCCACCTTAACAAGTTAGATCACGCCCTCGCCCTTATTCACCGAATGCCCGAATTCGGGTGTTTCCCTGATAGCATCACCTACAACACCATTTTGACTACCCTGTGCAAGAAGGGTCAGTTGAATAAAGTGAGGGATGTGCTTACGGAAATGAAGAATGCCGGGTTGGTTCCAAATAGGAGGACTTATAATATCATTGTTCATGGTTATTGCAGATTGAAGTGGTTGGAGGAGGCTGCTGAGGTAATTGACTTGATGTCTAAAGATGGTATTTTGCCGGATGTTTGGACTTACAATACCATGGTTAGGGGGTTGTGTGAAGAGGGGAAGGTTGATGAGGCTATTAGTGTTAGAGATGAGATGGTGAGTTTGAACTTGATTCCAAATATTGTTACTTATAATACTTTGATCGATGGGTGTTTTAAGTGGGGCGGCAGCGTGGAGGGGTTTAGGTTGGTCGAGGAGATGAAGTTTAGGGGAGTTGAGATGAATGTGGTGACTCACAATATAGTGGTTAAGTGGTTATGTAAGGAAGGTAAGATTGATGAGGCAAGTGATGCTGTGGTGAGGATGGTGGAGAGTGGGGTCTATCCCGATCATTTTACTTATAATACTATGATTAATGGTTATTGTGAAGCTGGGAAGCTTGCAGAGGCTTTTAGGATGATGGATGAGATGGCCAGGAAGGGTTTGAAGCCGGATGTTTTTACACTTAACACTGTGTTAAAAACTTTGTGTATGGAGAAGAGGCTTGACGAGGCGTATGAGTTAACTGTGCTGGCTGGGAAGCGGGGTTATGTTCTTGATGAGGTGACCTATGGGACTCTGATCATGGGGTACTTTAAGGCTGAGCAAGGAGACAAAGCGTTGAAACTTTGGGAGGAGATGAACGGGAGAGGGGTTATTCCTAGTGTTGTCACTTATAACACTCTAATCAGAGGGTTATGCCTGTCTTCGAAAACTGACCAAGCATTGGATAAATTGAATGAGCTTTTGGAGAAGGATTTAGTCCCTGATGAGTTTACATATAACATCATCATTCATGGTTACTGCTGGGAGGGGTTGGTAGATAAAGCGTTTGAGTTCCATAACAAAATGGTAGGGAAGTCGTTCAAACCAGATATCTTTACACGTAACATTCTCCTCAAAGGACTCTGCAGAGCGGGCTTGCTGGAGAAAGCTGTTAAACTCTTTAACTCATGGGTGTCTAAAGAGGATTCCGTTGATGTAGTTACATACAACACATTGATATCATACGTTTGCAAAGAAGGGAGACTGGAGGACGCATTTGATCTTCTGACTGAAATGGAAGGGAAAAAATTGGAGCCTGACCAGTATACTTATAATGCCATTGTTACTGCGCTTACTCATGCTGGTAGGACTGAGGAAGCTTTGAAATTCATGCCAAAAATTTTAGAGACAGGGCAAGATGTGAAAACTCATGACACTTCCCAGGAGCATGATGCTTCCATTGATATTATGTACTCGCAGCAAATAAGTGATTTGTGTACCCAGGGGAAGTACAAGGAGGCAATGAAACTATTTCAAGAGTCAGAACAGAAGGGCCTTGGTTTAAGTAAATATACGTACATCAAGTTAATGGATGGGTTTTTGAAGAGGCGAAAAAGCATAGCAAAGGTTACCCAACCAAATTGAAACAATAAATTGGCTAGGATTGCATTTGTATTTGGGATGGCTATAATGCTGAGCATGTTGTACAGGTGCTGTTATGATGACATTTAATGATTTCATGTAAGTTTCCATCTTCCAATTTGACTATTTAGTCAACATACTACATGTCTTTTTGGCCTACCTGTTATGTATGTCTGAATTTTTTAAGCAGCCTGTAGTAGGATCTTATTTTTTGATATAAAGGGTGAATATATGGAAGGAAGAGGGAGTTAAATTGTGGACCAGGGTGTAAATACGAGAGGGGAATCAGGATGGAGTCATATGGGAGGTATGTATTTTGTAAGTGAGGGTGTGAGAGAAGGCTTCTGACTACCAATACATGCATTTTTATTCCGTAGATTCCTAGAATTAGCTAATCAGTACAAGTGATTTTTTGTGGCTGTTAAGAGTGTGGAATTCCCTATGACTTTAGTGGAGATTCAAATTATCATAGCATATTTCACATCAAGGGCTTCCCTTCAACGTTGTTCTTCTTGTGTTGATTTAGGTCCTGGTTTTGTTTGTACTAGTACATACGAGACTGTATGCTCATGGCAAACTATATACGCTGTAGAACCTTAGATAACTTGCTGATAAGATATTGTTGGGATACGATTATGATATTATGTAGTTTCAGACTTGTGCCTAATCTGCAGGGAGGTGTAAGGTTAACTTGATAGTAAAAGTGAAAGAGAGAGGTATAGGTCATGGGTTCGTTCAAGTTCCTTCAGTAACACAAACTAACATTTTCTGATCTTAAAAAAATCTAGTTTCAGAAATGTAATATCCTTCAATTCTAGTTTGGCAAATTTAGCGTTTATAGTGATGACTTTCCATTTCTTTCTTTACGCTCCAGTGATGTAGACTTCTTGATTCTTGATCTGTGTGCAGAATTGATATAGAATTAATATTTTTTTATTATATTTATAAGTTGATGCAGCACATATGAGAATGAAATAAATAATTTATAACATTCCAAATCATAAACATGTACACTTTTCATCAAATCTGTCAATTGGTCCATGTAGTCAACCCAACATAGTGGGATAAGCTTTGGTTGTTGTTGTGGGAGTTTTTTGTGAACTGAGCTCTAATTATGTATATATGTGAATAAAATGCGGAACAGGGCACTGCTGTTGTAGTTTTGCATCTGATTTTGGTGCAATTTTTTGAATATGAATTAGGTTTATCAGTTTCCCTATATTATTACTCATATGTATCCTTCTTTCCTGTCAAATGTGTGACAAGAAGAGGTTGATAAGACATAAGGTGTGTTTAGCTAAACAATTTCATTAGTACTTTTTTAATGAGATTATCATAGTAAGAGCCTGTACCGTAAGTTTAACTCTGAAGTTTACTGACAGGCTTGAAAAGAGCTTATAAGAAGGTCATAGGTGATGAACACATTTTATCAATGATTTTATTAATATAATTTATATATATTTAGTATATTTTCTTAATTAATTACTAATAATTAATATATTTTTGTAAAAAGAAAATAAATTTTTCTTTGTTGAATATAGGAAAAACTGTATAGGGTTAATTTCCCTTATGTATTTACCACACATAGGGCAGTGTATTTATAATAAAGAAAGGTACTCCTCAAAAGAGTAACGAGAATACAAAATAGGGTAAATAAAAGATATTATTTGATATTGTGATTAACAATATCTAACAATATCTCAACAATATCAAATAATATCAACTAATATCTAATCATATCTAACACTCCCCCTCAAGCTTGGAGCATACAAATCGTATGTGCCTAGCTTGGTACAAAGATAATCCATCCTAGGTCCCCGTAAAGACTTAGTGAAAATATCTCGCAAATTGATCACATGAGTTAACGAACTCGGTCTTGATGTCTCTAGACATAATCTTTTCCCGAATAAAATGGCAGTCAATCTCAATGTGTTTAGTCCTCTCATGAAAGACGAGGATTAGAGCTTATATGGAGAGCGACCTGATTGTCACACACTAGTGTCATTTTAGTGACATCTCCAAATTGTAGCTCTTTAAGCAATTGCTTGAGCCAAATAAGTTCACAGGTAGCTGAGGCCATAGCTCTATACTCGCTTCGCACCTGGATCTTGCCACAACACTTTGTTTCTTACTTTTCCATGAGATCAAGTTACCACCAATGGAAACACAATACCCGGATGTAGATCTTCTATCGAGGGAGATCCTGCCCAATCAGCATCCGAATAGCAGACAACTCTTGTATGATTATGGGAGTCATACACCAAACCTTTTCCAGGAGACTTTTTGATGTACTTCAATATACGGATGATCGCATTCCAATGATCTTGACAAGGAGAATTGAGGAATTGACTCACCACACCGACTGCAAAGGAAATGTCGGGGCGAGTAACTCGTAAGATAATTTAATTTTCCAACTAATCTTCTATACTTGTTCGGGATCTGACATTGGCTCCCCCGATTTGGCAAGAGTTTGGTATTAGGATCCATGGGTGTGTCAACAGGCTTTGAATTCATCAACCCAGTTTCCTCCAAAATATCCAATGTATACTTTCTTTGAGATATAACAATGCCATCGGTAGATTGTGCTACCTCAATACCCAAGAAATATCTGAGTTTGCCAAGATCTTTGGTTTGAAAATGGTGACAAAGGTGTTGTTTCATCTGAGAGATGCCATGATGGTCACTGCCTGTAAGAACAATGTCATCGACATACACTATCAAATAGATACATCCAGCATTCGAGTGACGGTAAAAGACTGAGTGGTCTGCTTCACTTCTAGTCATGCCAAATTGTTGAACAACGCTGCTAAATTTGCCAAACCAGGCCCTAGGAGACTGTTTTAGGCCATATAAAGATTTGCGAAGTCGACATACCAATCCAGAAGACTCTCCCTGAGCAACAAATCCGGGAGGTTGCTCCATATAAATCTCTTCTTGCAAATCGCCATTCAAGAAAGCATTTTTGACATCCAGTTGATAAAGAGGCCATTGTTGAATAGCAGCCATGGCAATGAATAAACGAACAGAAGTCATCTTTGCCACTGGAGAGAAAGTATCACCATAATCCAACCCAAAAATTTGGGTATAGCCTTTGGCTACAAGGCGAGCTTTGAGGCGATCAATAGTACCATCAGGACCAACCTTGATAGCGAAGACCCACCTGCAACCAACAACAGATTTCCCAGATGGTAATGGGACAAGCGTCCGGGTTCCACTAGTCCGAAGAGCACCGAGTTCATCTAGCATGGCCTGACGCCAACCAGGGTGGGCTAAGGCTTCGAGAGACGATTTAGGAATAGACACGGAAGAAATAGACGAGAGACAGGTATAAAATGGTGAAGAAATTCGATGATAACTTAAAGCAGGTATAATGTGGAGAAGGATTACGAGTAGAACGCGTACCTTTACGAAGGGCAATAGGAAGGTCGGACTCGTGGACTGGAACCGGAGGAGGCAGAGTATTTGGCACTGGGAGTGAGTCATGTGGCGTCTGTTGTGGGCGAGGTCTGCGACTATAAACCTGAAGGGGTGGTGGAGGAGGAGGGGCTAATGGTGGATGGTCCTCAACATAAGGATCAATGAGAACAGGAATGGGAACTGTAGCGAGATGGAGACTCAGCAGGTAGGGAAGGGTCCTTAAAGTAAAAGGAAAACTCATTGAAGGTGACATCGGCAGACACAAAATAGCGATTAAGAGAAGGAGAAAAACACTTGTATCCTTTTTGGGATCGAGTAAATCCTAAGAAAACACATTTGTGTGACCGAGGAGATAACTTATCATGACCGGGATCAAAATTGTGGACAAAACAGGTAGACCCAAAAACCTTCAGAGGTAAAGGATGAAGAGTGTCATGAGGAAATAAAATAGAATGGGGAATTTTGTTATCTAAAACCGAAGAGGGCATACGATTAATAAGATAACAGGCAGTAAGAACAGCATCACCCCAAAAATGTTGAGGAACCTCACCATGAATTAAAAGAGTACGGGTTGTTTCAATAAGGTGTCTATTCTTGCGCTCAGCTACCCCATTTTGTTGAGGGGTATAAGCACAGGAAGTTTGATGAAGAATGCCATGAGAAGCCATAAATTGTTTAAATGAGTTTGAAAGATATTCACGGCCATTATCACTTCGAAAAGTTTGAATAGAGACACCAAATTGATTTTTAATTTCATGATAAAAGTTTTGGAATATAGAAAACAACTCAGAACGATTTTTCATTAAAAATAACCAAGTACAACGAGAGAAATCATCAATAAAAGTAACAAAATATTGAAAACCTAAATTAGACTTAACACGACTGGGTCCCCAAATGTCGAGTGAACTAAGGCAAAGGGGGATGAAGCACGTCTGGGAAACACTACGAGAAAAGGAAGTACGACTATGTTTGCCTAACCGACAGGACTCACACACCAAATTGGACAACTCGGGATAAGGCTGGGAACAAGTTGCCTGTAATTTTCGCAGATCGGGGTGACCAAGCTGAGCATGAAGGAGAGAAGGAGACTCCATAACTGTGCCAACATGTGGAGAGGGTTGAAGATAATAAAGTCCATGTGACTCACATCCGGTGCCAATCACTCTTTGCGAGCTCCGGTCCTGTAGGGAAACAGAAGTTTTGGTAAAAGAGATAACACAATCAAGAGATCGAGTTAGACGACTAATGGATAATAAGTTAAAGGGGGACCCGGGTACATACAAAACATTATCAATGGACAACAAGGGAAAAAGAGTAACCGTTCCAACACCATGAGCTAAAGTTGTAGACCCATTAGCCATTGTAACGAGAGGGTAAATTATGAGAAGAAGTGAAAGAGGAAAATAAGGATTTGTTACCGAGTGATGTGATCGGTGGCGCCTGAGTCAAGAACCCAAGAGCCAATAGAAGAAGAGTGAGTCAGACCAGCAAAAGATGTACCTGTGTGGGCAACAAAAGTAGTGGAACCTGGAGGGCTTTCGATCCTCATACCATTGAAGAAAATCATTGAAGATAACGGATTTGTC